GTATCTTAAAGCTACTCCTGGTAAAGGATTGTTATTCCGACGTGATGGTAATCTCTCTTTAGAAGTCTACACTGATGCTGATTATGCTGGATCCGTGACTGACCGTCGTTCTACCACTGGTTATTGCATGTTTCTTTGCGGTAACTTGGTGACATGGAGAAGTAAGAAACAAGATGTGGTTGCCAGATCAAGTGCAGAAGCTGAATTTCGAGCTATGGCTCAAGGCATTTGTGAGTTACTGTGGCTGAAAATTGTACTTGATGATCTCAAAATAAAATGTGAGGGACCTATGAAGCTGCTATGTGATAATAAGTCCGCTATTTGTATAGCTCATAATCCAGTTCAACATGATCGGACTAAACATATTGAGGTCGACCGCCATTTCATCAAAGAGAAACTTGATAGCGGGTTGATTACCACTCCATACATTCCTACTGGGCGTCAATTAGCTGATCTATTGACAAAGGGACTTCCTTCAGATAGATTTCAAGAACTTACTAGCAAGCTGGGAATGATAAATATCTATTCCTCAGCTTGAGGGGGAGTGTTGTAAATATTAGGTCTTTTATTATTATTAGTATTTGTTGTATTGGGCCAAGCCCATTAGGTCAAGAATTAGGGTTTTTTGGTCTCTATAAATAGAGACCTCTTTGTATCATATTATTTCACAATTCTAAAATATATCATAATACCCTTTTTCAAGTGAGACTAACCATGGGCTTGTGTGTTTACAACTTAAATCGTTGTGCAGTACAGTTGGAATGATATTATCTGGCTCATAAGCCCACAGCCAAAATTCATTAAATAACTGACCCGCGTTAGCAGCACAGTCGGTAGGAGCTACAGACATATAGCGAGAGCAATGCGGCTCGATCCTCACAAATGTTCTCTATTGTAACATCCCGAGCGCTGACGAGGGCGGGGAGTGATCGCCGGTGCAAAGAGGCACGGATAAGGAGCGGCTCTTGACAGGCTTCCAGCGTGGGGTTACATGCATGAATGAATAGAATCGACACCCGAAAGAGAGGGATTCCAAAGGCTGTGCAGGTATGAGACTGCACAGTTTGGGATAGCTTATAAGAATTAATTAGTACTATCTATGCTAACAAGATGCATCTGCTTTTCGGTAACCCAGAACGGAAGAACTCCATAGTTAAGCGTGCTTGACTTGGAGCAATTCTGGGATGGGTGACCTCTTGGGAAGTTTTCTCAGGAAGTGTACGAGTGAGGAAAAAGCACACTGAAAAGTCTAGTGTTAGTATGTGGGGATAGTCGTTGATTCTTGAAGCGGTCAGGCGTTACAAGTGGTATCAGAGCAGGGCCTCTCATCCAGTACGATGTGGTTCGAGGACGAACCAGGCGGAAGCTGGTGGGCATGTAACATCCCGAGCGCTGACGAGGGCGGGGAGTGATCACCGGTGCAAAGAGGCACGGACAAGGAGCGGCTCTTGACAGGCTTCCAGCGTGGGGTTACATGCATGAATGAATCGAATCACCCGAAAGAGAGGGATTCCAAAGGTTGTGCACGTATGAGACTGCACAGTTTGGGATAGCTTATAAGAATTAATTAGTACTACCTATGCTAACAAGATGCATCTACTTTTCGGTAGCCCAGAACGGAAGAACTTCATAGTTAAGCGTGCTTGACTTGGAGCAATTCTGGGATGGGTGACCTCCTGGGAAGTTTTCTCAGGAGGTGTGCGAGTGAGAAAAAAGCACACCGAAAAGTCTCGTGTTAGTATGTGGGGATAGTCATTGATTCTTGAAGCGGCCGGGCTATAATACCCCAAACTTAAGTATTTAATTAATTAATTTTAATTAAGTAATTAAGCCTGTATTAGTGAGTAAAATTAAGTATAAGACTTAATTAAACGAATTGGAGTCACTTTGGAGGTAAAAAATGTACTCAGTGAAAGTTAAGGGGTATAAATGGGTACTGAAAAAAGTGTCCAAAATATAAAAATAAAAATATTAATATTCCTAGAATAATATTCCAGACTTTTGGGTAAAGTTTGGTAATTAATGGAGTTGAATAGATAGATGAACCAATACCCACATAAGTCACTTAACTAAGTTAAGTGACTTAAAAGCCAAAAAGAACCCCTACCCCATTCATTCCCCACGACACCCTGCACCAGGGAAGAAGAAAAGAAAGAAAAAGAGAGAGAAGGGAGGAAGAGGGTGAGAGGGCGATTCTCCACCGATCGGAATGATTCCAAAGCCTAGACCACTCAAAATCTTCCCCTCTTCCATAATCCTAGTTTAGTTTTGAGTGGGGGTTATTGTGGAGAGAGATATTCTCCTTCAAAAATTCGAACCCTAGGTGAAATTGAGGAGATTGATGGCTCCTACCTCCATGGGAGCTTGGGAGGCTTCTATTGCATGGTTGTGTGACCTATTGTGGTAAGTTTCCACTTCTCCAACTTTGTATTCATGGAAGTTTCTTGAGGTTGATGATGATGAATAGTGTATTTTGGGGTTTTATGAGTTTGAGTGTGATGGAGGCTTGGTGTCTTTGAAAATGTTGTTAGTGATGATAAATAAACGGTGAAAATGAGTTTAGATTGTCATTTGAGTAAATTATGCTTGAGATTAAGGATGCTCTTAAATGTTAAGATATTATTAGCATCAATTGATTGTATTCCTTGTGTTGATAGGATTGAGGCAAGAAGACCAAGTAGAGTGACCAACCTTTGTGGTTGTGTGCAATTGAGGAAAGCTCAAGAGCAAGGTAAACTTTTGGACCTTGGGGTTGATCCCATTGAGTGTTCCACCATACTCCATGGAGGAGAAATGGTTTATGAGATGAGATATGTAATTATGATTGTAATTGTATGCTCATGCATTGATTCATGCATTGATACATGTTATGATTGATTGATGATTATTGGTTGATGTTTGATTGTTTAAGAGTAATTGAGGAATGGTTATAGAAGTAGCAATAATGAATGAGGTAATGGTTGAGGATTGTGATTGAGGTTATGAGTGATAGTATTATGATGAGGATGATTGGTAGGAACTTCCCTCGGAAACAGCCCTATGTGGATCTCCATGTGGTTAGAGCCTAAGAGGAACAGCCCTATGTGGATCCCTCTTGGAGGTTCCTAGATAGAGGAAAGGACTTCCCTTGGAAACAGCCCTATGTGGATCTCCATGTGGTAAGAGCCTAAGAGAAACAGCCCTTAGTGGATCTCTCTTGGAAGTCCATGTGATGCTTGCTGATAAGAATGTGTTAAGCTATTATGATTATGTGTACATCGAAAGTGAACCTTAGGGTGGAGTGATCTCCAAGGACCTCTGGTTTACTGTGATATATTCGTATATCTCACCCCGTGTTGTGGGGCATCATTTCAGGTACTGATAGATGTGAGGTTGATCGAGGCAAGAAGCATGAGTAGATTGTACCTGATAGCTGGACATGTTGAGTTGCATGCCATTTAGCATTGCTATATGTATATTTTGATGCCACATGATGTATTTTGGAGGACTTAGTGCATGATCATTGTAGTAGTAATGGGTATCTGATACATGGTTACTCGCTTTGATCATGTTCCTTTTGTAGCTAAGTCCTTTGGCATGTATATGAGATTTGTAATTAAGACATGATGTAATATTGTAAGTAATGAAGATATTTGTGTATGATGCTTACTGTAAGTTAAATGCATGAATGTATTTTATGTATTGGATTGTTGAGCTGGAAATCATATTAGGTAACTAGTTCTAAATTGGGTATTGTTGAGAAAACAAAGGTTATGCTGCCCAAATTTTAGTACAAGCCATGAGGAAAAGGGCATGCATGTCCCTTTAGATGTGTTTGTATTATGCAAGAACTAAGAACCATTTATGGAGAGGAATTTATATGATAGATTTGGACCGTGGTGTATGTATGAAAGTTGTAGATATTTTTCTTAGCTTTCCATAGAGACCAATGTTGTGTAAATTGGACAAGTACAACTCTAGTTACAGGTAAAATACTAAGAATTGGTGAAACCTTCAGGACTTTGGCGCACCTGGCGCCAAACTTGGCGCACCGCGCGCCATTATGCTTGGAAGCTTCTGTTTCGCGGCACAAATCGCGCCGGGATTACCAGCTGGCGCACCTGGCGCCAACCTTGGCGCCTCCTCCAGCGCCATTTCGATCGGGAGCTTCTGTTTCTTTGGCGCCCGCCGCGCCACATCTGGCGCCGGTCGCGCCGGGATCAGCAGGATTCACGCGCTTGTTTCGTAGAAAACCCATAACTTGGGCTACAGTGCTCCGATTTGAGCGCGATTTGAACCCACGCGTAGCTAACGAAGAGATCTACAATATAGTAGAAGTTGTGAAATAAATAAGAAGTAAATTAATGGTTTAAAAATGGAATGAGAACATGATGTTAAGCTTGGCTTATCTGATTCCGCAAGGTAATATGGTTATGATCACGCAATTGGGTATTATAAGTTCGGTATGTTTTAAAAAAAGAAAAATTTATCCGGATTTTTAATTGAGCCAATGTGATTGTAACTGCGCTTAATATCATAATGCGATGTTAACAAACCGGTTCTAGAACGGGATGTTACACGGGCGTTACATCTATCCCAATTTTCCTTTCCCTATCCCCCACCTTCTCTCTGCCCCGTTCCCCTTCACCAGTCCCACATGGTGGGTCCTAGGCCTTACTCAAAAATAAAAAATAAAAACTTATCCAGTTCAAGTACTCAAAAATAATATCTACAACCAAAGGATCAATTGTCACGAGGTTATTTCAACTTAATTAGTGGTCTGAGTTCGATAGGCAGATTGATACATGAATAGATGGAGAAATCTAAAAAAGTACCTTGAGGCAAAGGTATGGATGGAATAAAGTCTTTGCTAATTAAGAATTGACTGTGAATCCAAAAGTTCTAGTTTCACGGAATTTTAAGGATAAAAAAGCAGAACACGATTGACAGATATATGATTTCAATTATTTAATTAAAAAATAGTAGGAAAATTCCCTCAATTAATGAAAAGAGCAGAATACCCAAAATAAAGTCTACAGCTTGATGTGCCAGGTTTGCAAACTTCGAATCATCCACCTGCAAAATACAGTGAATTCGCCACATGCATAGCAAGTCAAAAAAAATATTACATTCTTTGTAATAACACCAATATTTCTACGAACTCTACCACGAACTGCATTATTTATATATTAAATGTTCTTTTTTTTTTTATATCCAAAAAAAAATAGTGAAGCACCTTGACAGGTGACACAGAATCACACAGCTCCACAAGAAAATCAACAGACGCCCTAAGCTGCTCTGTTTCATCCTCCTCAATTAAACCTGCGGTTATAGTTTCAAAATATAGAACAAATTTAGTGCAACTCCATTCACTTCAAAATTCCCACAGGTAGTTTAGCATGGCAAGCTAAAGCGTCATTTTGTTTTAATTGAGAAAACCATCATTCTAATTACAAATTATGAAATACATAGATAACCTCTGAGTATTACCTCGCAGTCTAATACTCGTGTATAACCACAAATGCTGTAACTATGTACCTAAAGAAAGCCGCTGGTGACTCGAAGAAGAAGAACCTACTCTTTTCCTCCTTTCCTTAAAGCGCACTATAGAAAGCGAAATTTCAACGTCAATAAAGCATTCAAGAGAAGGTGCTGAAACAAAGGTGAAAAAGACAATGATAATGAAACCTTGTCTTAAAAATCTACGGCGAAGGACGTCGTTGAATCTGCCGTGAGAGCCATTTCCATGATGCTTAGGGCTTAATTCCCCAGAGTTGTCGAAGAAATAACACTTGCAAGAAGCACTCTCTGGAAAGAGATCGCAATGCGAAGTATCTATATACAGAAACTCAGAATCAATTCGTTAATGTCCGTGAATATGGATGGATACAAAGGAGAAAGGATGGAGGTAGAACCTTGAGCTTCCTTCAGATCTTCTCTGAGCCTCAGAATCTCTTGCTTTCTTTCCTTAGCCTGTGAATCCGAACAAAAAATAACGAAGAATGGAAGGAAAAAATGCATGAGATTGAGAAGAAAACAAGGAAGAGTTTGGAACCTTTCGCTTCCAACGGAGAAGAGCGTCAGATTGCGAAGGAGAAAGCGCATTAGGATCCTTTATGTTTTTCAGAACCTTTGATCGGAGAAGCGAGATCGCTACCGCTAGCTTCAGCGATTCGTCGTTCGAACTCTCTGCCATGTGCTTCACATAAACATGAGTCCAATTGGAAAAGGCGCGAAACCTATGGGGAGGTTTATGTTAAAATGAAATTCGAAAAATAAAATAAAATAAATTCTCATACTCCTTTGCTCAAAAATAAAAAAAAAATGTGGGATATGAGTGAAAATAAATATAAAAGCACAATAGTACAAAAATATTATTTTTTACTATAATTGATAAAAGTACCGAGTACACTGTGCTCCCGAGACACCGACAAACCAGATCGAAACACATTTAAAACCTATTTGGCCTGATTTTTGTTAAAGCTAAAAATAAGTTATTATTATTTCCAAAAAAAAAAAAAAAGTTATTAAAGTCAGTTTTTGATTGTGTTATATCTTAGTAAAAGAAAAAAGAAATTAAAAGCTGAGAGCTCTAAAAATGTATTTGGTCAAACTTCTCTTTTAAAAACAAATAAAATAAAAAACAATTATATGTTGCGTGAATCGAGCCATCGATCAAAATAGTAAAAAAATAATAATTATTTTACTTCCAAATAATGTTATTATTATATATTAACTATTAATTTCTATCAATCAACAGTTATTATTTTCACAAATTAAATTCATTAATTAATTATTAATTCGTAATAAATGATAATCTTATTAATTCACAATAAATAATAATCATTGATTGACAAAACATTGTCCCATTGTAAAATAGTACAAATCGATATCCAAATTTCCATGTTTTAATGCAAATAATAATGAATGACAATTTACATATCAACGTTATTGTTAGGACTCAGTATATCCCTCCTTTCTACAGGAATGAAAGACGTGATTGTAAGTTAGATATGCACCCACAAGAAGGCAGAAATCTAAATACTAAAAGAAAAACTGGTGGAAGTAACAGACAATGATATTTATGAACTGACCAGTTTAACAATTACTGTCAAGAAAATTAATAATAAAATGGAAACTAATGAAATACAAACAAAAAAAAAAAAAAAAAACATTTGGACCCGTGGATGGATGGGCCACTCTCTTGGAAGACAAAATCCGTAGCTTTATGGTTTGACTTTCCCTCAATAAACACCTCTAACGACATCAAAACAAAAAATTATACAACTCGATGAAAATACCTGAACTGGAAACTCCACTTTTATAACATACTGTAATACAAAATGCTCTAACTAAAAAAGTGAGCGTAAAGGGAAGGGAATTTGAAAGAGCAGTGAAACAGGGCAGAGATGTTCATCCAGTAACAGAGATCAGTATTCTCATGCAAAGTCATCTGATTCACTAGAATAGACTCCGACAGGCCTCAATATCAGATGCTTGTGAATCCAACACAGCTTGCCCAGATGCTGCAGAGCTAATTACCTGCAGTGCAGAGTCAAATATTGCTTTCTGGAACCGGTCATCGTCCACCTTCTTGAGGATCTCTGCCACCACCTTAAAATCCAAAACCCCAGCCAAAATTAGTTTCCCTACTATCTCACCAAAATTATTTGGTGCTTTAGGTAAATCTATGCCAATATCATCCAGCATAGAACCAAATAACAAACATCCAGTCCCAATGTCTCTAGCTGAAAGAATCTTCTTATTAAACAGATACTCCAGAAGATTGGCAACAGGTTGGACACATGGCGGACTTTTATCTAGTGCAAGGGAAATGGCTTCCTTGACAACCTCAGGGTGATAAGCTGGAGATTTTAATTCCTCCACACAGCATAATGCCTCATCCAAAAGCCCAACACCGAAATATTCTTCCAGAAGAGAAACAGTTTTGCGGTGAAGATCGGCAGTATTCAATTTTGCAGCTGGAGCCTGTGGCTTCTCAGCAGCTGGAGCCTGTGGCTTCTCCAAGGATTCAGCAGATAAAGCTTTAACAGGCGGAGGGATTTGAGGTGCAGGTTCAGTACCTAACCCAATGTTTGCTGCTGGAAGAGCAGAAGAAGAAGCACCACCACCTCCATGCACTAGGGCACTACTTCTACCACTTATAAGACCACCACTACCTTGGGGTAGTAACTTTGAGTTCAGGGCTGATGACTTGGAAATCAAAGGAGATTGGCCACGTCCTCCAGTTTGCATGCCTGATATGTCTCCTCTTGGCATTGACCTATTCCTAGGAATCTCCCAGTTGTCACTATCAATTCCTGGCATCCCAGGCATCTTCCTGGTCCCTGGCATTCCAGGCATCAAACCCCCTGTACCAGGTCGGGCAATGGGGAAGCCCCCAGTGCTGGTATTTCCTTGAACACCAGAAATTACACCACGGGTATTTCTCATACTTGCAGTGGCACCGGGACGCAATCCAAGATTTTTCTCTGCCTCTGAATGAATTTCAGTTATGGTTTTGGCTCTCACCTACATGAGTAAACATTTATAATTGATAATAAAAAAAAAAAGTTCCTTCAACAATTGAGGTATAACATATCTACAGAATAATAAATTGTGAAAACTTACCTCTTCGCGTCTTGGAATCCAGTTACAAGCACGCAAATCTAAAACATCCCGAACCATAAACCTCAGCCGTAGTGCAAGTTGGGGATTTGTGCTCAATTCTTTCAACCGGCTAAAGTACACGTCATTCATCCGCCGTGATTTTGGGCTTTCATCAAGCTGCTTACCAATAGTGATGAAAAATTGACATATGGCTTCAACATTTTCCTCAGCTGGACAAACCTTGCTGTCCGGAGGTCCTAAAAGCTCCTGTTCCAAGTATAAGTTAACCATGCAGTAAGTGCATGCTCCCAAAATAACAAGAAATTATATTATGTAACAGTCAAGTTTCAAGTCCTGCTAGAACCTGCACAATGTGATGAACAATCTTTTCAGGAACCATTTTTTGCTTCAGCAGCTCACCGATTAAACGGATGTTTCCAAGGGTACGAAGCTTGAAAAGTCTTTCCTTGTCCCGCCGTTCCATCTCCTGCTCAGGGGCAGTCATCTGCCTTACTTCTTCCCTCAGTTTATCTGCACCTTCAAAAGCCTCCTGGCAGATATTCAAGAGTACTCGTTTAAAAGTGATTTCTTTCCCACCAGGTTCTTCAGACGGGAATGGAGGCAGCTTTTCATTAAGATCAGAACACAGCAGAGCATACATGGGGCAAAATGTTGGTTCTAGCACTGCCTTATCAAAAATCAGCGAAATGACTCCCTGCATTTGCAAAGCAAGTCAATTAAGAACAAGGATGTGAACAGATATATATTTTAAACAGAAAATAAAGACCAACCTTCAATATGTCAGCTGATGTAATGCCAGCGTCAATCAACTGACCCTTCAGGAGATCAAATTTCTCAGGAGTCAACTTATTCAGTATTCTGCATTGAAGTGGTGAACAGCATTTAGCAAAGCAATAGCAGGAGTCATGCAATTTTCAAGGCTCTTAACAGAGTTAAATAAGTGAAGAAGCAAAGAAAAAATGTTTAAAAGTAGTTCACTAGTATTCTACATTGAAGTGGCCAACAGCATTTAGCAAAGCAATAGCAGGAGCCATGCAATTTTGAAGGCTATTAACAGAGTTAAATAAGTGAAGAAGCAAATAAAAAATGTTTAAAAGTAGTTCACTAGTTTATACAGGAAAAAAAATAAATTAAAGAATCTTGTCACAACTCAGAAATATTGACTTTTGATTATTTTTCACATGTAGTATGATATGGTCCCTCAAACTGTTCTTGATTACATACATGAAAATCTAGAAATCTACCACATGTCAAAGTCAAAAGCATATTCACATCAAACTATTAACTAGTTTTAAAAAATAAAAGCATATTACCCTTTAACAGTCTTCAAGACACGATCCTTTTCAGAGAGACTTCCCCTTCTAGCTGACCATGGCACCTCAGCCTTGACTAGAGTAGGAGTAGGTCCTCCCTGAATTAATACAGAGACAGAAGAGCTATAAATAAGATAAAACAATCTATTCATTGTACACACTGAGTGAACAATACAATGTCACCTATTTAAAAGCTTTTACTCCAAGAGGAAAAAAAACATAGTTACTATAATAACACGGCACTATCTTGTACACTAATAAAGTAAGGAGTTTTACATTAACATTGGATCAAATTTGAACTCATAAAACGTTAATTACAAAACAGATATAATGCATTTCTACCAATGTTTATTACCCCTTGGTTTTGTGCCCTTGCAAACTGAGAATTCAGTTGGTCTTGACGATTAACCTGACTAGAATTGCCAAACTCCCTATTCTCCTTGAGATTATCCCAAGACCTCTCATCTGCATTAGCAGGAAGTGGTCCAGATCTACCACGCCAGTCACGGTTATCTGGCTCAGAATATCGATTTTGAATTTGATTTGGGGGCTGCAGAAGATAATATAAACATTATTACAAAAAATTGAACTTATTATTTTGAAGATGATCATGAATAAATTCATAAACTGATAACATTTAATTTCACCTATCAAAAGAATAAATATAGCAGCATGACATACAAACACAAGACTTTTTTCATTCGTTAATGAGTCCCTGTGTGATAAATAGTATGATCACAGCCAAAAATAAACCAACCATAATCAACCCCGTCAATCAACTTGGGAAACAGAATGAAAGAGGACTAGGACCTCAGAAAGTTAACAGCATAAATAAAAGACAGAAAACACACTCACGTTGTTTTCTGTGCGGCCCCAACTTTGATCTTCACCTAAAAGTTCAGCTTCAATATCTTCTTTGATCTTCAAAACATCATCAAGGACCTCAATGGCCTATGAGTAAAACAATTCAACAGTCAGACAAAAGTCGAAACATAAATATTAGTTACAAAAACACTGAAATACATGGTCGCAAAAGTAGTTCCCTAGAGAGAAAAGGAAAAAGAGGCCAAAAAATGAACAAAAAAGTATGCAGAACATTTATACAGAAGTTCAGGGAACAACATCTGGTGCCTATTAGTGAGCCAGATACTTCAGTAAAAAATCCTGACGGCCTTCATTGATGTCTAACAAATATAAGTAATTTAAGACAGAGAACAATACATACAAGGAAATCTAATACACAAAAACAATTAGCAAGATAAATCCAACAACCAGCCATAACAGAATGTTGATTAGCACAATATTTCTCTAATTGATAGGGAAAGGATCGCAGATAGGCAGCAGATGGAGAAAGAAATCTCCCTCACAAAAAGTTAACTACTTCAAAATAACACTTAAGCAACAAGAACATATATCAATTACCTCTCTAAGCTGTAGAAGCTGATCTCTGGTATATCGCACACGCTCACGACCCTCAAACCGTGAATCTCCAGCCTATAAAGCCAGAAGTACATAGATATAAATCCCTTAACATAGTACACAGTTAAATATAACTCAAAACGAACAAGATGATTCAGAGGTAGATGGATAAGATCATGCACCAATAATAAATTTAGAGTTCAACGACACTAAGTTCTACGCACAAGCATTACAGTGAAAATATCTATTAATTGTTTTTAAGCCACGTCCTTCATGAATCATGCGATAAAAATAATTATACATTAAAAAATCACTCTATAAGAAACCAAATGATAAACCAACCTGTAGCAATATTGTATGGATAAAAAAAAAATCACCATTTAAGAAATTAGTTCGTAGATATAATGGTTATGTCAAAAAACTCAAAAATATTTTCACATTTCAAGAAATTCATTTTGTTGTCTTTATAGGCATTGCCTTCAGAACAAAAAAGTGGAAGATTTATCACAACTCCTTTAAAACTAGCTCTACAGGAAAAGAAGCAGTTCCAGGGAGCACTCACAGTGAAATGTGGATGATTGATTCATCAAAAAACGTATATAGACCAGTCTACCAAGGAAATTATATCAGATTCTATGTCAGTCTTGGCATCCACCAGAATTCTGAAATTATATTCCATGTACGTGAGACCTTTATGGGCAAATTGAAATTTAGTCAAGCCCACCTAAAGCCCACATGTTGCTTTTTGTCCATATTTACAGCAGGTACACATACTTAGTGCCCCACCAAGAATTAGGACATTCAAATTCGGTTTTCCTTTCTCTTACGGCTATCAACTTAAAACCTAGCAGCTAGACACTGAACAAGACAGTAACTCCAAGAGTTATATCTTTCTCCCTTTTAAGTTTCTGTTAGTTAATTCTTCTGAAGGGTTGTCTTTATGTTTTCTTACCTAATGATGTTGCAAGACAAATTAGTTAAACTCCACACTAAACATTCCTCAAATCCAGACACATCCAATCTACGAATGGGACAAAAAAACACACATAAAAAACCCCGAGCGCCAAATGAACACCAGCCAGGTGGAAACAGATTATTCCCGAAATTCAAACTTCAGCATAAGACCTCACATCTCAAATTTTAATTTAAAAAAAAAAAAAAAAACAGATTGTGTCTCGATATTAATCAAGTAAACAAGAGATCCAAATAGTAATAATAATAATAGAAAAAAGAAATCCTGTATTTATGAACAGAATCATTCTAACTCGTTGACAACACAAACAATGACACACAAAATCAATAAAAAGAAATCAATTTTTTATAAACAGACAAAGAAAAAAGGATAAACTTTAATTAAAAGAGCGTAAAATTAAGAGGTGAAAGCGAAGAAAAGGCAGATCCAGAGGATATGATAGCGAAGGAATAGAGATACCTTAATAGAGAATGAAGAAGTGGCGCCATGGGGACGCAAGAGAGGAAGATCAGCGGAAAAAGAGCCAAACGCAGGAGAAGCAGAAGTCGTTGATGAAGATGAATCGAATCGAGGACCAAGAAGCCTGCCGCCTCGACCGCCACCAGGCCTCAAACTCAACACCGTTTGATCACCTTGCTGCATACCTCACGATCTCTCGCTTCTTGATGAAATCTTAGCCGTCCGATTCAATAGAAAAAAAAAAGAGAAAGAGAGAGAGAAAGAGGAAAGAAGGGAAGGGATAGATAGATGGATGGATGGATAGATTGGATATTTCTCTCTCTTCTGCGGGGTGAGAGAAGAGAAGAGAAGAGAGAACTGCGTGCGTGCGTGAGAACAGAAGGGTGACAAAAAACCCTTCTTAGTGCGCTGCGTATGCATACCAATTTCCTATCCCATCCATAATTATTAATAAAAAGTAAAAATAATATTTCTGAAAAAAAAAAATTAGGTCTACGAAATTAAAGTTGCGACGTCGTTTTAGTTGGCTTTGTCTGTGGTAGGTAAGTGAGGGACGGTGCTCGGCTCGAATAATTCAGGGCATAATTTCATTCTAAATATGATGAAATAAAATTATATTTTTTGCCTATGTATGTAATATAGCGTACAACTGTACACCATTTATATACGCATCCAAAAGTAGATGGAGGTGGGCCGGGTGTCCGTGCCACGGCCCAGTTAGTGGTATAACGAGAAACTGCAGTTTTACTTTTTGCCTAACAACGAGTTTATTTTGTACTTTTATGTTTTCAAGAATCACCCTCAATTGATTACAGATTTAGAATTTTTAAAGTGAGAAAGATGCACGGAAAATAAAGCACAGATTGTAATCGCTACAGTGTAAATGTATCAGATTATTTGTAGCGATGTTTTAAAATTCGGATTAGTTATCGATTTGGTTGAATTATTGAATTATTGAGTCATTGATTCATCTGGATTCAATCAGATTTATTGTTTACATATTAATATAATATAAATATATTACTTATATTAAAAATTTATATAAAAAAACTATCAATGGACTTTAAAAAATAAATTAATTCTTAATTATAGCAATATTATATATTTCTAGTTCTAAATTGTGAGCTTCCATATTATTTTGTATTTTTAAATAAATCTTTTATTAATATTTATACATGTTACCATTAATTGAATAATTCCTTCTTATATAGAATAATGTGTCGGCTATTTGACTATTTTATCCCTCGTTAATTAATTAATAATCATTTTGTCCCTGATTCGAAACTATTTATCAATTTGCCCCTCTTTAATCAACTATTTTGCATGTTTAATCGACTAAATGGTTATTGGGAGATTTAAGCGACTAAATCTCCCTACTTAATCGATTAAAATCATACTGACTTATTTTTTTTTTTGTTAAATATGGAGATTTAGTCGACTAAATCTCCCAACAGCCATTTTTTGTCTGTTTTGGCCATTTAGTCGATTAAAAATGCAAGATAGTCGATTAAAGAGGGGCAGATTGATAAATAATTTCGAATCAGGGGCAAAATGATTATTAATTAATTAATAAGGAGCAAAAGGATGAAAAAGCCATAATGTGTCTCTGTCCATAGTTTATACTTTGTACATTATAATATTAATAGAATAAACTCGAGGGATTCACACAAATTGCAAATAAAATTTGCACATTCACCATACATGCATCGGATGAGTTTGAGTTTATAAACTGCAGTGCATGCTTGTCCTTAAAAAGGTGAGGGCTACCAAAGTTGTAAACTAGTTAATATTTATTTTCCATATATAATTTATTGCAAATTCATCGCACATATAATTTTTTTTCATATGCAACCAACATTTAATTGTATAATAAATTCAGAAAATAAACCTTTGTTACAGAATGGTGGGATTATGAAATTACGTGATAAATGGAAGGTAAAGTTTTTTTTAAATGACCTTAACATCAATTGGTTTATATCTTTAATCATTTATTTTTCTTCATGTGTCTTTAGAATCACATACCATATTGTAATGTTCTGAAATAATAATTGTATTAAAAACAAAAATAATAAAGTAATAAATAAATATATATAAAGCGGCTTTGTTAATAGGTTACGTAATATATATACATATAACTATATGTATATATATATATAAGTAGAAAAAAAATAACAATAAAAAAAATTGAAGCTTATCAAAAATGTGGATCCTTCTAGATATATAGCAACGTGTAATAAAAGGGATCATAATGTTAAGACTTTTGATAGATGCAATTATTATATTTTTAAAGATTAGTTAGATTTAAACAAAATTTTAGTTAGTTTAGTTACAAATCAATTGGAGGTAATCATTAAAATAGTCAAAATAGTCAAAAACAATTGTCTATATATATGTGTGTACATATGAATCAGAAGGAAAAAAGAAGAAGGAACGCAAACGTAAAAAAAAACAATCCGAGGGAAAAGAACAGCGAGAAGGAGAAGGAAAGGGAGAGGAGGCGAGATATGAAGGTAATATTGAGAGATAAAAACTTTCTCTCGTTTTTCTTTTCACTATTTCTTTTAAAGATTTTGTTAGTATCGTTACTTTGCCAATTTCTTTTCTTAAAATTCTTTTCTACTTCTTGCTATTCCTATTTTTAGTTTAATTATTTCATTCTAAAATTCTTACTGTTGTTTTTATGTTAATTTTAATTTTAAACTAGTTGATTATTTGGTACCAAATAAATGTGTAAATTTTAACTGTATGTTACTGCTGTGAACCGACCCACAAAAGTTTGGGATCAGATGGTTAGGGTAAGGGACGTCTTATCATGGCTTAAGCTCTGCCACACAGAACTTTTCACATGCAGAGACCCACAGAGTTGGGTATTTAATTAGCTTCAGTTAAATATTACACAATTTATTATTTATCTTTATTCCTGCAATAATTTTATGAAATTACTTGAGAGAATGATACATTTTTCGTTAATACGGCTGGAATGGTTATAGTTATAAAACCTCAATATTATTGAGAATTTTCTCACGTTTTATTTGCTTTGCTAATCTTTCCAGATGCCTAACTTGTCTTTTTGTGGAGAAGGATGGAATATTACTGTTAACTTTTATAGTGACCGTTGGGAATACTATATAGTGACGGGGAATCAAGGAGCTGTAGCTATATTTTATCCTGACAGTGTGGATACTTATGCGTATACTTTGGACTAAACAAGGATCATGTAATAATGTGTGACCGAAGAATGTATATATATATATATATATATATATATATATATATATATATATATATATATATATATATATATATGACTTATGTAAAATAACTATGTAAGTTAGGAAGTAGGCTATATATATATATATGTGTGTGTGTGTGAAGTTTGTACAAGTTTATGTATGAATCCACATCCATGTTTATTAAAATGAAGGATGTTAGTTCTAGTTAATTAGTTTTCTTCACATGCGTTGGCACAATCTGTTACATTTTTGTTTTACTTTTATTAAAATGAAGGATGTTACACATATCATATGTACTCATTATGTTATATGTCTAATATTATATTACAATATGTTATGTATCAAATATTATATTATGTTATCTGATTAATATTATATTATGTTAATTGTTATATTAAAATTATGTCACTCTGAAGACGACTCATTGTTCTGATATTTAGTTTTGAACAACTTATTATTTTTATTTCCTTTGGAACAATGTCTTGCCATGGAGTTTAATAATAGTAAATTTCGATCACTTGGCGTTAGAGGTGGCACAATAGACGGCCCACTCTGTCCCATTTCGTCATTAATCCGCCAAAAAATGAGTTCATCCGTCCAGTCTCGTTTTTGAAAGTGAGCTGAAAAACTTGGTCCGTTCTGCCCCGTTTGGCAGCTTGGCCCGCTAGTCCAAACCTATTTTACACTGATTCGCCTCGGCCCGCTATTAACCCGTCAAAAAATGAATCCGCCCCACTCTGTTCCGCTTTTGAGATAGGTTGAAAAACTCAATTCACCACATCCCATTTAGCAGTGAGACAGGTTGGCCTACCGAGCCGAGTCCGTTTTGCCAGCTCTAGTTAGAGTACAACATGCAACATAAAAGCTAATTGCTAAAAAGGAGGTGAATGGTCGAGGTAGGTGCGAGTTTAAGATATTATCAGATTTGAAAATTGAAAGAAATAAAACTATTTTTTTATCATATACATTGTAGAGTGTATTATCAAATATGTTATTTGTCCAGAAATTCTTCCTAAACATTAAAACAAAAAAAAATCTCTCCAAAATCAAGATGAGAGAATAAAGTTAGATTTCCAAGACTATAATGTTTTTCTTCTTGTAATTGGATTGATGTATTAAATCAAGAAAAATACATTACATTTGTTCACTAGGATGAGAATGGGGACTCTAAAATATATTATCAAATTACTTTTTACTCTATTTATTATTTATAAATCAAATTTTGAAAGTTATTCTTATAATCTTTCAACGTGTGCCATTGATCGATCTTACTTAAGATACTCATATTCTTTTTGTTATTATGCTCTTATCATAAAGTTTCTTTTCCCATGTTGGTTGATTCCTCTGGACCTGCAACCAACTCGGACGTAAAAAATGGGGCGAACAAGTTCATCTCTCTCTTACAAATGGATTCAAATATTAATTTATTTTGTTTTATGACGAGTTTGCGGGTAAATTCATTTAATTTTTTTTAAAAATATATATTTTACGAATTTTATAATATTATTTTATTTTTATTCTCATTAATTTTTTTAAGAGAAAATTTATATTTACAAATTTTTTATTTACAAATTATATTATGTTTGACCGGTCATATACTAATCAAGAGTGTATGACTGATCATATTTAGTGTAATTTGTAAACGAATCATTCCCTTTTTTCTAATCTTAAATCTAAATGTATCTCTTTATTTTCTTTTATTTCATTTTCCTTTCAAATTTTTTTCTTATTTATTTATTTTTGTGTTTTTATTTTTCCCTATTTATCTTTTTTATTTCTTACTTTTTTATTCCTTTTTGTCCTCCTATATATTTAATTTTAAATTTCTTTTTTCCTTTTAATTGTTCACCTTTTTATGGATAATATTATATATATATATACACACACTTTAAATTTGATTTTTTTATCTTTTTCTCAAACTTTTCGTATCTTTCATTTGAGTTTATCCACCATCAAACCTAACTAGTTTTAAATAAATATGTTGTTGATGTTGATATGAATAACATTTGTCATAAATAAATTATTTTGTACTTTATTTTTTTGTAAGAAAATATTATGATAAAAATATTGGATAACTATAAAATACAATGTTTAACAAAAAATATTAATGTGTTCTCTACTTAATATATAAAGCAGAACCTAAAATTAAATATTGTTATTTTACATTTTTGAAAAATAAAATACACAATAGAAGATATTAGATAGAAAATAATAACATCCTAATAAAAAATAACAAAATGAAAACAAATAAAAAATAAATTGAATTACAGAAACACTAAGAAACAAAATATACATGTATCAAAAAATATATATACAGGAAAATTGATAAATTTTTAGATCAAACATAAATTTTTTCGAATATTGATCTAATTTTTATTGGTTCAGACAAATAAAATTATATTTTCACAATATCTCTATATTCGTTTTCGTTTCACGTGATTGCGGCACTAGTTTGTACTTTGTAAGAGTTAGCATTTTTTTTTTTAGTTATTTTTTGTAATCTGTAATGTAAAATATAAATTTTTTTTCTCTACAGTAAAATAATAACCGACGTCACGAGCTGTTATAGATCTGTCGTAAACTGCCGTAGTATACTAGATTTTTCATCTTATAGTAGTCTAATGTATTTAAACGGCAAACATATTCAAATATCAGCATACAATTGACTAGTGAAACGAGGCAAAGAAACTTACTTGAAGTATACCTAAAAACTGTTTGGGTATATGATTTATATATATATTTTTTCGCTTTAATCTTTCTAAAGTGCATATAGATAAGTTATCTATATTCGCTCTCAAAATGATGTTATTTTAGGTTGAAAAATTAAAAAATTGTAATGAAAAAGACTATTATAACCCTGAAATAAATTATTATTATAAAAATACCTTGATTTCAGTTTCAAAACGACGTCGTTTTAGGCTCAATAATACATTGACCGTAGAAAAAGCAATAATCTGGAGGGTATCCCCATTCAACTTCTTCCGGTCACCTTATCCTCGAAGTACGACTCGAAGGCTACCCCTCATTGGAACAATGGGTGCATTGAGCTTCGCTACCGGAAGAAGGGTGAAACTAATCCCCCTTCGAGGACAGAGGCACTTCCTCTGGCCCATTGAGAATTCCCCTTTGAGGACACAGGCACGTCCTCTGCCCCCAAAGATTTTTCAAAAATTTGCTTGAGATAGGGTTTGAACTCATGATCCAAGCAAATCATTGAAAGCTTAGCTGTCAACTGAGTTACTCTTGAGGGTTATACATTAAGAATTTTAGTTGATGATTTCATTTGCTAGGGAACAAATATTTGTAATTTTAAAAGATATAAACTATGTTATTTTAGTATGTTTTACTTTCTTTTTTTATAAAATTAGAAAGAAAATGTTAGAGAAAAAAAAAATAAAGAAATATATCAAAATGATATAATTTTATTAAAAGTAACATAACTTTGAGTAAATACCCTTTTTAGTTCTCAGCAAATTTCACGAAGTCCGTTTTAGTCCCTAGCAAATAAAAAGGCTCATCGTGGACCCTAAAAAATTCAAAATGGACCTATTTAGTTGAAATCAAGGTCCCTCACAAATTCAAAAAGACCCATATTAGTCATCAAAAGAACTAAAATGGATCCATTTTGAATTTCTTATGGACCACTCATCGCCTTTTTATTTACTAGGAACTAAAATGAGCTTCGTAAAATTTGCTGAAGATCAAAAATGATATTTACCCTATAACTTTATATCATTTCTCCATCCGTAAAACGGACAAAGGGAACCGGAGAAATATCCTGGCAATTTACAACTTAACTAGAGTTTAGGACGAGGTGGGGTAGGTCCGAAGGAGTGGGGCGGGGCACTCACACGATACAAGTCAAGAGATGTTTGGTGCATAGTATAGAATAAGGCCTGAAAGTATAAGACTTGATAGTACAAAGTCTGATTGTATAAGACCTGATTGAATTTTAATACTATCTAGCGTTTGACACGGTATTTTATAAAATAATATATTATATAAGATAATATCATCTAATATTTGGTAATACACTATATAATACTATATACAATAAAAATAAATATTTTTAATAAAAATATCTTTTAATAAATTTTTTATATAATCTTTCAAAAAATGTCATATGATATTAATTTTTATAAAAATTTATTGTGTGTCCAAAACATAAATTATTTTTTATAAAAATAAAATATTCAATATTTTAAAAATTAATATATTGAAAAACTAATTTTTATTTTAATATATTAATATTAAAATAATATATTAATTTTTGAAAATTACACTACCTCTTATCGGGCCTTATTCCTCCCACTTAGGTCGGATTAAGTTATACATCGTTTCGATGTATTAAGCGATCTTGTTATATAAGCTTATATTATACGATGGTCACACCAAACAGCTAAAAACGACATAATGTATAATATAAATTTATACTATCAAAACTTATACGTCACACCAAACAGGCCCTAAGCTCCTCGCTGTTCACAACAATTGTTCCACTGTTTTTCTTCATGGTAAACAACAATTGTTCCACTTTAAAATAACTTCACAACGTTGTTCCATAACTTTTTGCCACTTCTACTAGTTTATGCTTTTTTTTTTTTTTAAAGAAATTTGTATTTAATTTTTCCTCGCATATTATTGTCGGTTGTGACTTGTGAGAGAGAATGTGTATTGTCTTATCCAGTTGGGTCTTATTAATATAATATTTCGATTCAGAAATCAAGCCAGAACAATCTTGAAGCTAAAGAAATATATGACATCAAGTTTGAAAAATTGGATGATAAGATAGAATTATATGTAGTTTTATAATTTTTGTTTAAACATCTCCCCCCCATATTTAATAGCAGTATTTTGTGCCTGTTTGAGTCTTTTTTTAAAAACAAAAATTGATAAGTCAAAGTTAGGTCAAACAAATTTTTATAATAAAAAGAGTTTTCTTTATAATAAAAATATAAATAAAATCAAAAGTAAAAAATTCTTAGAAGAATTTTTTTTTAAGTTGTATTAACTTTTTGTGAAATGTATATTTTTTTGTAATGAATAATTTTTAAAGTAAATTTTTTATATAATTATCAAATAACTTTTTTTTTTAACTTTAGTTTTGAAAAAAATGTCAAATAGGCTCTTAGAATACAAGTTCAAACTTCATTTTTTCTCTCAAAATTAAGTCATGCTAACGCTATTAACGTTCAATGAACTGTTCTCCCTCTCCCAAAGCAAGCAAACAAGATTAAAGATGTTAGAAATCAATTTCACTAGAATAGAACGGAAGTCTGAGTATTGAAAAATCAAAATCTAAACTAAGCACAGTCACCGCTATTCATAATTTATCATTAGTTTTGTGTTTTAAAAACCATCAGCGAGGCAGCCACGTACAGCCCCTCTTCACTCTTTATTCTCTCCACGTGGACCGCCCAGTTCAGTTTCCTTACAAAACCCGTCAATTCTAGTGCTGGGAGCTACCAGTCTCTTATAATGAGAAATTTAAAGCCAAAAAAAGGAGAAAAAAAGAGAAAGATTTATGTTTTTTTAAAAGACTTGTAAACAGAAAAAAAAAAAGGAAAGAAAAATGATTTATAAATCTTGATTTTTATTTTTATTTTTTGTAGGTTACCTAAGTAATCTATTTATCTATCTTTTCCAAATTAAAAAAAAACATATTTAATCATATTTTTTAAAAGTATTTTCAAATATAAGCTATTAGGATTGATATAATAATTAAAAATTTGAGTAGTTTATATTAAATTTTATATTCAATTCTCACTTATATTCAAAAAAGTATTTTCAGATATAAACATCAACTTTTAAAAAAGGCAATTTTTTTTGAGAGAAATTCTTTTAAAGGGATATTTAAAAAAATATAAAACATATTGATTATATATTTTTTAAAAATAAAAAATATAATTATATTATAATTAATCAATTTAATTTAAATAATTTTTTTGTAAATTTCATAACATCTAATCTAACAGAGAATCAAATTTTACTCTTACTTTTTGTGTCTTTATTAGTATTATTATTATTTCCCTCCTTCTGGAACCTCGTCTAACACTCCAGAATTCTCTAGCTCGCTCTGTAACTTTCCTTCTCCACTAACCTCGTAAATTCTCGAACTTGTTCTGTATCGGTGACTATAAATGACGCTTTGGGGTTCTCTCTTCTCCAACTCAATATTCATTAACAACACACAATACTGCAAGCGCAATTAAGAACCCGAGTTTCAGATTTTTTTAGTCTTCTTTCTCTTTGAAGGTTGAGACGAAGCACAGAGATGGCGACAAAGGAAGGCAAAGCCATAGGCATAGACCTTGGCACCACATACAGCTGCGTCGGCGTGTGGCAAAACGACCGCGTTGAGATCATTCCAAATGACCAAGGCAACAGAACCACCCCCTCCTACGTTGCCTTCACCGACACAGAGAGGCTGATCGGCGATGCGGCGAAGAATCAAGTGGCCATGAATCCACAGAACACCGTTTTCGACGCCAAGCGTTTGATCGGTAGGAAACTCTCCGACCCATCGGTTCAGAACGACATGAAGTTATGGCCGTTTAAGGTTGTAGCAGGCCCTGGCGACAAACCAATGATCGTGGTGAATTACAAGGGCGAGGAGAAAAAATTCTCAGCTGAAGAGATATCTTCGATGGTGTTGACGAAGATGAGGGAGGTAGCAGAAGCGTTTCTGGGTCATCCAGTGAAGAACGCTGTGATCACTGTCCCTGCTTATTTCAACGATTCTCAGAGGCAAGCCACTAAGGATGCAGGGGCTATTTCTGGTATGAACGTGTTGAGAATCATTAACGAACCCACTGCTGCTGCTATTGCTTATGGTTTGGACAAGAAGGCTTCGAGAAAAGGTGAGCAGAACGTGCTTATTTTCGATTTGGGTGGTGGCACTTTTGATGTTTCTATTTTGACCATTGAGGAAGGGATTTTTGAGGTGAAGGCCACTGCTGGTGATACTCATCTTGGTGGTGAAGATTTTGATAATAGGATGGTGAATCATTTTGTGTCCGAGTTCAGGAGGAAGAACAAGAAGGATATTAGTGGGAATGCTAGAGCTCTGAGAAGGTTGAGGACAGCGTGTGAGAGGGCTAAGAGGACTTTGTCTTCCACTGCTCAAACAACCATTGAAATCGATTCCTTATATGAAGGGATTGATTTCTATGCTACAATCACCAGGGCTAGGTTTGAGGAACTGAACATGGATTTGTTCAGGAAGTGCATGGAGCCTGTGGAGAAGTGTCTGCGTGATGCAAAGATTGATAAGAGTCAGGTTCATGAGGTTGTTCTTGTTGGAGGGTCAACTAGAATTCCAAAGGTTCAGCAACTCTTGCAGGATTTCTTCAACGGGAAAGAGCTCTGCAAGAGTATTAACCCTGATGAAGCTGTTGCATATGGTGCAGCTGTTCAAGCTGCGATCTTGAGCGGTGAAGGAGACGAGAAGGTTCAGGATCTGTTGTTGCTTGATGTCACGCCGCTTAGTCTTGGACTCGAAACTGCTGGTGGTGTCATGACTGTGTTGATTCCAAGGAACACTACAATTCCAACGAAGAAGGAGCAGATTTTCTCCACATATTCTGATAATCAACCAGGTGTTTTGATCCAAGTGTATGAGGGAGAACGAGCTCGAACAAAGGATAACAACCTTCTCGGCAAGTTTGAGCTGAGTGGCATCCCTCCAGCCCCGAGAGGAGTGCCTCAAATCAATGTATGCTTTGATATTGATGCTAATGGCATTTTGAATGTGTCAGCTGAAGATAAGACTGCTGGGGTGAAGAACAAGATCACAATCACTAATGACAAAGGAAGGTTGAGCAAAGAGGATATCGAGAAGATGGTTAAGGATGCTGAGAGGTACAAGGCAGAGGATGAGGAGGTGAAGAAGAAAGTGGAAGCCAAGAACTCACTTGAGAATTACGCGTACAACATGAGGAACACGATTAAGGATGAGAAGATTGGTGGGAAGTTGAGCCCTGACGAGAAGGAGAAGATTGAGAAGGCAGTTGAAGATGCCATACAGTGGTTGGAAGGAAACCAATTGGCTGAAGTGGAAGAGTTTGAGGACAAGCAGAAGGAGTTGGAAGGTATATGCAATCCCGTCATTGCCAAGATGTATCAGGGTGGTGGTGCTGGTGGAGGAGATGTGCCAATGGGTGATGACATGCCTGGTGGTGGGTCTGCTGGGTCGGGTTCTGGACCTGGACCCAAGATCGAAGAAGTTGATTGAGGCATGTGAACATGTTGGAAACTTGGTTATGGTGTGAAGGTCTTGGTTGGTTGTACTTGTAGTGGCTGTCATAGTACTTTTGACAGTTTTATTACTTATGTAGTGTATTACAGGATGTGAGTTTATGTAATGTGAGGTTTGATGAATCATGAATAAAGTTTTAAAAGTTTTTTTGCTTTGAATGATCATTGTAATTTCATAGATCTAACTGAGATATGTAATTTAATTTCTGTGTGGATGGATTTATTTTAATAACTTGATGCGTCTAGTCTAGAAATAGTTAAAAGCTTTTGAACGAGGGGAAAAAAAGCCTACGGTTATATTGAATTAAAATTTAAAAGATATTTCTTAGATAATTTTTTTTTATAGATTTAAAAAAAAAAATTAAAATTAAAGGAATTTTAAAGACTTCTTTAATTTTTTTAATTAAGATTTTAAAAAATTATATGAATTTTTAATAAATATTTAAAATCGTAAGAGTCAGTAAAAAATAATAAAGAAATATAATAATATTAATAAAAAGTTTAATATAATTTTCAATAAAATTCATAATAAAATTTTGTTTAAAACTTTTTATAATTGATCTTGTAGATTTTGAGAATTTTGTTTTCCGTGATGAGAATTTTTTAATTATATATTATATGTATTTTGTATCTGAAATTTTGTTTTTTATTTTAAAATTTTTTAACTTCATCAAAAACGATGACAGAGAGAAATATTCTTTATATATATAAATTAGATAATATTATAAGAAAATTAACTAGATCGGTGGAGTTGAATTATTCACCAAATATCAATGAGCAATTAAAGGCTAGATTGAATGGATAATTTTTAAAGGGAGGATATTGGTCCACTATTTTTTTTCACTATTTTAATTATTGTTAAATCAATAATTTTTTCTTGAAATTTTTTTGAAGAAAGAGAAACAAATAATTTTAATATTATAATTATATATTTTTGGAATATATAATTATAACAGATGGTAATAAAAAAAAAAAATATAAATATCTTACCTCTAATTTTTAGTACTCAACATGAACTAAATTTAGAATAAGATACATCAACAATACTTTTATTCTAAATTAATTGGGATAGGTGATCGATGAATCTAAATAAAAGATACAAAAAGTTGAAAAAAGATAAATAAATAAAAATAAAAATAATTAAGTAAAATAGTAATAATATATATATATATATATATATATATATATATGGCAAAATGATTTCTGCAGCCGCTGCACCTACAGCTAGCCAGGATCCGCGTGCGGATCCTAGGATACAACATCGGATCCTTATTTTTTTTATTTTTTAAAACGCCGAGGGACCCACTTTTCTGTGTCAGCTGTAGAGAGTGTTATCTACGGCGGCTGTAGAAATGATAAGCCCATATATATATATATATATATTTATATATACACACATATATATATATATATATATATATATATATATATATATATATATATATAAGTAAAAAAAGAAAGGGAAAAGAAGAAGAGGGGGAATGAAGAGGAAAAAGACTAAAAAGGGAACATAGGAATAACAATGACTCTAATCTTCTATCATACTTATAGTTTTTCTCCGTTCCGTTCTAAGGCATATCGTCCGCCAATCTATATCTCGCTCAATTAAATCTTGTTTTACTATATTTTTCCAAGTAAATTCGGTCTACCTATATCTTTTTTTGTGTTGAGTTATTAGTAACAAACTTCTGTTCTAACGAGAACATTAAGAGCCCTTCTCATTACGTGTCCAAATTTAGAATAAGATGTTCATTTAAAATGTATTTACTTTTTTTTTTAGGAAAATATTACTCTTTTTCATAGAGATAATTATGTTACGTGGTGAAAACAAGATGGATGAGTTTCACCGCCATGAAGAAAAAAAAAGGTGGGGAAATTGAATTAAGATTGAAAGAAAGAATTTATCTTCTATAAAAGTATATGGAAAAAAATTTTGTTATTTTAAATGACATGCTTTATATCTTTTCATTTTTATAAAGAGGTGGAATTTACATCTTTAAATTTTTTTCATCCATTCTTTTTTTCGTAATTTATCTTTTTTGTCACTTAAATTGATACAATTTTATGTCTATTATAATGATATACACTTTTCCCAAAGCATATAGTAATAAAAACCCCCCCTTCTTTTTTGGTATTTACATTTGGGAAAAGTATGAGAAAAATGTATATCATTTCAAATGATGTAAAATTGTGTCATTTGAAGTGAGAGAAATAGATAAATAAAAGAAGAGAGAGAATGGACAAAAAAATATAAAGATATAAATCTCACCTCCTTATAAAAATAAAATAACATAAATTATGTAATTTAAGAGTAGAAACACTTTTCTTTTTAAATTTACTCTTTTACACTTTTCATCTAATATGAGAAAAAACATGACATGATTATGTGAGAAGATCACAACCATACAAAGTAAAATTAATAGTTATGATTTTTTAACTACTTATTTTACTATTTTTTTCTCTCATCTTTTATTACCATTAATTTACCTTTATTATAATTTTTCAGTTTAGCATGTCACATGATTTTTCACATCAAAAGGATCCGTATCCAATTTGTAATGACTAATAATTCTACTTATTTCTGCACGGCACACATTTACAATACAAACCCCAGCCAGTGAACAATTGGTACTTTCCAGTTCCCAGTAGTGGATAAGAGATCAAAAGCTATGAGCGAAACTTGAAGGCGTGCGTGTGTGAGCATGGCTGGCATCACCAGCTTCCCCTTCAAGCTCTTCACCACTGCAACTGGAACTCGTTCTACTATCTTCTCTTCCTATGACTCCAAACTCTTCGGTCTTCCCCTCTCTACTCCTAATTCTCTCTCTATCTCCCTCTCTCCTTCCCTTCCCCCCTACATAACCGCCCGCTACGGCGGTGGCTCTCGCTCTTCCGACTACGGCGACTCCAGGAGGCGCAAGCCTGACTCCGATGACGAACAAGCTCTCGACCTCTCCATCCTTAAGTACTCCACTCATTCATTGCCAAATTCCTCTCTATCTCTATCTCTATCTGTCTTTTCAATTACTATTCGAGATTCATGCTTAACATTGCTTCATGGTTTCAAATAGGTCAGGTTCCGTTAGGCTTATTGACGAGAAACAGAATATGGTTAGTTTTCATCATTTACTTTCTCATGTATTTCGATTTCATCCACTCTTGAAAAACAAAGCTATTTGAAGATGTTAATTTTGTTCTTTTGTAGGTTGGTGTAGTGTCAACTAGTCAGGCCGTTAAAATGGCTGAAGATGCCGAACTTGATTTGGTATGATGCCTTTTCCCTGTGTGATTGTTTCCAGCATATTTGAGTATTGCACATGCTCCATTCCATCTATTTGTCTACCTACAATGCGATGGTTTTCTCATTTTTATTGATTGAGCTCTTCAATATAATAATCTTTAGCTGTCTATGTTCTGGCATTGAATTTCATTTCAATTAATATAACATCTCTACATAGGATGTGTCATTTTGACTTCTTAGGGTAGCTGTTGCATATTATCCTGTTATCTTACTTATTTCTGGACACTGTATTTCGTATTTTGTACATGATAAAAATGTTAAAAATAGAAAAATGAAGGAAGAGTTTCCTATAATTTCACTAAGACAAGTCACAAGTATTACAATTACAACAAGAAGTGATAGTGAGCTGTGAGCCGTTTTATTTTGGTGTGGAAAACTAACTGTTTCAAATTAGTTCAAATCAGATTCAGTCAACACACGTGCTACTTCTGACATGAATGCTAAACTTTTTCTCTATTTATTTTGCAGGTAATAGTATCCCCAGAGGCAGATCCTCCTGTTGTTAAAATAATGGATTACAGGCATGAACTTTGTATATCCTGAGAAAAGACTCTGCACTTTTAATTTTAGTTTTAATTTCTATCTTACCTTGAAATTTTTTATTTGTGCTTATATAAAATCTAGTATCAAAATACTAATGGTTGATGGCTGTATAAAGGGGTCATGTAAGTGTATCTGCATCAAATTATCACTATTGGACATCGATCGATAAAATTAGCAGTTGATGACCTGCCGGTATACATGTTCAACTATAATAGAAGATCAAGTAATAGAACAATAATCACTCTTAAATATATTTTGGGGTGGGGATGTTGTGAAGACTAGATTATGCAATCACTATTGGAGAATAAAGAGAGATTAACCCACACACATGTAGTTGTTCGATGAAGACATTGGTCATGCCTAGTTCTACCTCCTTTCTGCCTGCCTGCCCACTGCACTTTTATTATTTACGCTTTGAGAATTGTTGGATGATCCTTGTATTTTCTTTTTTTACAGTAAATATAGATATGAACTGCAAAAGAAGAAAAGAGGACAGCAGAAGAAAAGTGCTGGTAAGCATTGTATTTGTTAGACTTTGATATTTTCCTCTCTAGCATTTGCTGACCTCAGAACAAAGATAAATTACTGACAGATCTTTTTTTAAATGTAGCTAGTCGGATGGATTTGAAGGAGCTCAAAATGGGGTAATGTCCTATACTTGGAGCCTCGATCATACTTCCTTTTGTTATTTCAAAGACAATAAAGTGGGAAAAGAAAGTTCTAGATTCTTGTTCTTTGGATTTCCTAATTAGATTCGATGTATTCTTGGTTATGGATCAAATATTACTTTAATTGTTAGTATTTTAATAAGGGTCAGAAATATTTTGTTATTGCCATGCAATCTAGTCAGGTTAACTCTGGGTTCTCCAGAAAGGCACTACACATATCTGTTCCTCTTCTTCATTCCATTACTTTCAAGAAACTAGAAGAAATAAGAGAAAAAGCTGCATATGTCAGACATTTCATCATTAATATCTTTTCTCTTGGTTGTGGACTTGGGATGAATTTGGACAGGATGATCAAGAGGAGTTTGTTTAGTCGTGCTGCTCAAAGATAAATATAGAAGTTTTATGTGATGCATCACACTATAAAGATAGATACAACTAACACCACAGTATTATTTTAAAGCATAAAACTTATGCTATGGTTTACTTTTTCTTCTCTTGATAACATAAACTCAATTAGAGCAGTTGCAGAGTTTTTTATTAGCTGTAGTTAGTTTTGAGTTATAGTTATGTTTCTACAATATGTGATTATGCCTTTTGACAACTTTCTTTGAACTTCTATTTTAACAGATACAACATCGATCAACATGATTACTCTGTGCGTTTGAGAGCTGCACAGAAATTTTTGAAAGATGGTGACAAGGTTACGTGAATTATGTTGTTATGCCATATTAAACATATGTAAAAAAATATATATTATCTTCAAACTTATTGAGATCTTTCGGATCAATTCCTGCAGGTTAAGATCATAGTAAACCTTAAAGGTCGTGAAAATGAATTCAGGAATATTGCTATTGAGCTTATTAAACGTTTTCAGAATGATGTTGGAGAGGTATGTGATGCGACTTTGCTATATTATGATTGAGTGCTCATATTTCTTAGGCATTAAAAACTTGACTTTTCACAAAAAAGAAAAGAAAAAGAAACTTGTTGACTTTAAGAAAAGTAGGTCCTAGGATGTTATACTCGTAATTTCTTGTGTTTTATGCAGGCTTTAATACTTCTCAATCGCCACTTCATGTATTGTTGCTATTTAGATTTCATTTGAGCGCTGGATCTACTTTTAGTGAATTCATTGTGCAGTCATCCAGTGCTGATATTTGATTTTACTGTCTTTGGAGACATTTCTTTTTATTGGCTATTTGAAAATAGTATCTCACTAACCACTCTCTTCTCAAGACTAAACATTAAAGAACAATTGCACAAGGTTAATGACCCATCTTTCGTGGAAGTTCACTCTTTGATGCTGATTTAACTTCTGAAGTTGACAGCTATGTTTATCTACTATTTATATTTCATTTGTGCATTGGATCTACTTTTAGTGAATTCATTTCACGGTCATACTGTGCTGATATCTGATGTTACTGTCCTTGGAAACATTTCTTTTTATTGGCTATTTGAATTTTATATCCAAACGACACTTGGGTGATGTGCAGCTTGCAACAGAGGAGGCTAAAAACTTACGTGACAGGAACATGTTCATAATTTTGGTTCCAAATAAAGCTGCTGCACAGAAAACTCAAGAACCACCAAAGAAAAGAGACAAGTCAGCAGCAGATGAAGTCTCCGTCAGCGTCCAAACATAAATGAGAATTTTTACGCGAGTTTCTAATTGTAGAATGAATTGTGAGTAACTTATGTTGGAATTTCCTAGTGTTGTATAGCATAAGTATAATTCATGTGCAATAATAGTATATAAATTCACTAGAATATATATCTATATGTCTCCCACCATCAACTGTCTTCACAAGACTAAACATAAATGAACAATCGCACAAGGATAATATCTCATCTTTCGTAGAAGTTCACTACTTTATGCTGATTTGATTTTTGAAGTTGACAGCTATATTTATTAACTATCCAATCAAATGCATGTCAAATTGGTGACTGTAGGAGGCTCCATACCTTGATCAAGAAGGATACCGTCCCAACAAAAGCTTTTTCAGGAAAACCGTCAATTCTGGGGAATATTCCTGCCTGATATATCTTCAGGGGAACACGCAGTACCTGTGTTATTTGGTGCAGCTTATATATAAACCTGGGTTCAGTCTCGTAGTTATTCTATCTCAAGATGTAGAGGTTGCAACTTACATACCTAACGATTTGAAGGTAGATTAGTTTTGAAATGCTTACATTCGAAGAATGCGAACATGTATGTTTTTTTTATTCGCATAGGTAAACAGAACGTAGTCCCGAAAGCAACCCGTTATATGTGACTTATTTTCAAATTCCAATATTCATTTGCTTTTTGTGCTGTGACGTGAAACCTTTTTCTGGTTAAGTGGTCATGACTCATGATCTAGTTGGGATGTTAAGTGCACCTTTTTCTGGTTAAATGCATGCCTAAACTTACCTGGATATTCATATAATTTCTTATAGAAAATATTAATAGATAAATGAATAACTCACAGGCAGTATTATATGAAACAAGCTAAAGCTGCTTAGTTGCACGTGGATTTATGTAAAAACTGTTAATGTTATTCTGCACATACTTTAAATAAAGTTAATATTATAGAAAATGGTGCAAGTATTCCAGAATTAAAAAAACTTTTATTGTCGAGCATTATTCTGTGTGTTAGGGTATCTAGAAAGGGTTTGATCACACACTTTTATGGTGGACTGCCTTAGATTCCATGTATTTATTTCAGCTGACTTTAAAATTCCAATAAGGGTTTTATACGAGTTATGTTGTAAGAAAAGTGATTCTGTAATGTTATAGAGATTTGTTTTGCGTGCTGTAATTTTTTTTTTTTTTCTTCAAAAAGTGTGGGTCCCACAAAATGTTGTGTGTGTAGGAAAATTTATTGTGTCATGTTAAATGACAAATGCAAATCCCTTCCAATAAATACGAAGTTACGTTGGTTATCTATCGGGTCAAAGAATGTATCAAATATTTAAATTAATTTCCAGTGACATATTAAGTATTAACGCTTGCAGAGTTTTTTTTTAAATGATTAAATATTATACCTAAAATATGTTACTAACAAAGGAAAGTGCTAAATACCAGGCTTTATACCAAATTTGTTACTAGCAGCAACATGCATATTGTTCTCCTGCTTTTAAGAGTATATTTTTCTAAATCTTTTAAGAATAACATAATAATTCTTAAATAACACAATAACTCATAAATTTACTTCTCCACAGTGCATCAAACATACTTGTTATATTCGTGAAGAAAAAGTATTTGAAAATAGATCAACCATGAATATTCTTCAGAAAACAAGGCATTGAGTATTTGAGTGCTTCCTTTTTTGCGTTACCTCTATTTTCAGTATTATTTAGTTGACTTCTGCCGTTATTAATATCTTTAAGTTAATTGCCTAAATCGTTCAAAAAATCAACCAAAAGTTAATTACTAATAAAATCATCCTTTCCCATCAGCCATGCTATCAATATCTGGCTCTCTATCTGGTTACTACTTGCCTACTTGTTACGCTTGCACTATTTTTTTAGTGAACAACCGAAAATTAAAACTGCAAAAATCATTTTTGATAAAACAAGATAATTAAGGGGAAAATAATATACAGAAGCCAACCATGTCTCTTTTTGGAGTCCAGTAACTTTTGGAAGATTGAAAAATAAACAACAAAATAAAAAGAAAATAAGCAAGGAAGTGCAACATGTACACCTCACCAACGTGTAGTCGTTATGGAGATGGTGGTTGAAAAAAAAAAAGAAAAAAAAAAAAGAAAAAGAAAAAAGAGAAGGAAGAAGCTTAGCTTCAGGGCAATGGGGACCCTGCAACCAAAAGCAGCACCATTATGTGGACACATTAGGTGAGGAAACGCCAAGCACTTGGAGCCTTAATGTTCCTTCATAAAACATAAACTTTTGCACTCAACCTCACCACCCTTCCCTTAATTTGTGTCACCACAATATTGTCACATTCAAGAGGTCACCACCAAGATATGGAAGCCAGTGCTGGACTTGTCGCTGGTTCTCACAACCGCAACGAGCTCGTTGTCATTCATGGCCATGAAGAGGTAATACTAATAACCATGAAAGCTACTAGAGAAAATTAAGAAAAGGTTTTGTGTTTGTTTTCATGAAAATTAAGTTGCTTAATGTATAAATATATATTATGTCGTTTTGTTGCAGCACAAGCCTTTAAAGAACTTGGATGGTCAAGTGTGTGAGATATGTGGTGATGATGTGGGACTCACGGTGGATGGAGACTTGTTTGTGGCCTGCAATGAGTGTGGTTTTCCGGTGTGCCGGCCATGCTATGAGTATGAAAGGAGAGATGGTAGACAACTTTGTCCACAGTGCAAGACCAGATACAAGCGTCTCAAAGGTACAAGAAATATTAAGCAAGTTTGGTAGACTTTTTTGCATGCATTATTAATCTAAATATATACATTTTGTCGTAACAAACATTCACACTCATAAAACATGTAGTTTATATTTAGTATTGAGTTAAACTGGTTAATTTCAAATGGCAAACAATGAGGGAACTGATATATTATATTTGTTTATTCCTTGTGTTCTAATTTTGCTAAGGGAGCCCGCGGGTTGAGGGAGATGAAGATGAAGAGGACGTGGATGATATTGAACATGAGTTTAATATCGAGGACAAAATGAACAATCATAGCCATTCTGCTGAGGCCATGTTGCAAGGGAAGATGAGTTATGGAAGAGGTCTTGAAGATGATGAGAATGCTCAATTCCCACCTGTGAGATTTGCACCATTTTTAGTCCAAGTTATATATACTCTATAGAACTAATAAGTTTGCATGCATGCATGCATGCAGGTGAGAGGGGAGTTCCCAATAGCATCTCATGGTTATGGGGAGCAGATGTTATCTTCTTCGCTGCATAAACAAGTGCACCCATATCCGGGGTCTGAACCACGTAAGATGTAGTTTATAGCCTGAGCTCTTAGACTTTGATGGCAATGATTAAAAGAATTTACCATCCCTCTTTCACAATATTCATCATTTGCAAAACATAATTATATATGCTGATATGGGCTTTCACTTTTGGCTTTTACTTAAGTTCAACCCTGAAATGTTTTTCTTGCTCTGTTCAAAAGTGTGAATTTTATTTACAACATGTGGCATGATGTGTTCAAAGCAGGAAGTGCAAGATGGGATGAAAATAAAGAGGATGGATGCAAAGATAGATCAATGGATGACTGGAAATTGCAACAAGGCAATTTGGGGCCTGAGCCTGATGAAGATCTAGATGCAGCCATGTAAGCAGTTCTTGACAGTTAACTTTTAATGAAATGGTAGCAATAATGGCAAGCCCTTAACTGATATTTTTTGGTTACTATACAATGTAAATTGCTGCAGGTTAGATGAAGCAAGACAACCACTGTCAAGGAAGGTGCCAATAGCATCTAGCAAAGTCAATCCATATAGGATGGTGATCGTGGCACGCCTTGTTATTCTTGCTTTCTTCCTCAGATATAGGATTTTGAACCCAGTACATAATGCAATGGGTCTATGGCTAACTTCTATTATATGTGAAATCTGGTTTGCTTTTTCATGGATACTTGATCAGTTTCCTAAATGGTTTCCCATTGATAGAGAGACTTATCTTGATCGCCTTTCAATGAGGTAAAGGGACCTTCATTCATCCTATAATATGATTTTGCTCATAACGTTGAAATCCCAAAGTTTAGACTTACATTGCTGACAAAAAAGTGTTGTTTATCAGGTATGAACGTGAAGGTGAACCCAATATGCTTGCTCCTGTAGATGTTTTTGTTAGTACTGTGGATCCCATGAAGGAACCTCCTCTAAATACAGCAAACACTGTTCTTTCAATCTTGGCCATGGATTACCCAATTGATAAGATATCATGCTACATTTCTGATGATGGAGCTTCAATGTGTACATTTGAAGCCCTGTCAGAAACAGCAGAGTTTGCAAGGAAGTGGGTGCCATTTTGCAAGAAATTTTCTATAGAACCTCGAGCACCAGAGATGTACTTCTGTGATAAAATTGACTACCTGAAGGACAAAGTGCACCCCACCTTCGTTAAGGAGCGTCGAGCTATGAAGGTTTGTATCAAAACGACCAGAATAGTTTAAAACATGGGAGTTTCTGAATCAGTTTTAAAGCTTAGTGACTGTATTTTGGGTGTTTGACAGAGAGAATATGAAGAGTTTAAGGTTAGGATCAATGCACTTGTGGCAAAAGCGCAGAAGGTTCCTTCAGGAGGGTGGATTATGCAGGATGGGACACCATGGCCTGGAAACAATACTAAGGATCATCCTGGTATGATTCAAGTGTTTCTTGGTCACAGTGGAGGTCATGATACTGAAGGAAACCAGCTTCCTCGTCTTGTTTATGTCTCTCGAGAGAAAAGGCCTGGATTTCAACACCATAAGAAAGCTGGTGCCATGAATGCTCTGGTAAATATTTTTTAAGTAGCTTATTTTTTGTTATTTTTATGATGTCCATTCACCTTTATGAACCATAATTACTTGACTCTTCTAATAATTGCTATAATTTCCAGGTTCGGGTCTCTGCGGTGCTTACAAATGCTCCTTTCATGCTGAACTTGGATTGTGATCATTATGTCAATAATAGCAAGGCTGTTCGAGAGGCTATGTGCTTCTTAATGGACCCCCAAACTGGGAAGAAGGTCTGCTATGTCCAGTTTCCTCAAAGATTTGATGGAATTGATAGGCATGATCGTTATGCCAATAGGAACACAGTTTTCTTTGATGTAAGTCACTGCACAAAACCCAGCATCAACATGACATGGATTTTTTTGAAGCATTTGATATTTTTTAGTTGGGTAAGCTAATATATAACTACTTCCCATTTTTTTCTGTATCTGCAGATTAACATGAAGGGTCTAGATGGTATTCAGGGTCCTGTATATGTGGGCACAGGGTGTGTATTTAGGAGGCAAGCTTTATATGGCTATAATCCTCCCAAGGGTCCCAAGCGTCCAAAAATGGTAAGCTGTGACTGCTGTCCATGTTTTGGAAGGCGCAAGAAGGTTAAGCATGCAAAGAATGATGCAAATGGAGAGGCTGCAAGTCTAAGAGGTTCTTATTTTTGTAATAACTAATGTTGACAATAACTTCTCTCCGAATTGATTTTACTTTAACCAATTCTAACCCCTCTGTCATATTTCTAAACAGGAATGGATGATGACAAAGAGTTACTGATGTCCCAGATGGATTTTGAGAAGAAATTTGGGCAGTCATCTATTTTTGTGACTTCAACATTGATGGAAGAGGGTGGTGTACCTCCTTCCTCAAGTCCAGCAAGCCAGCTTAAAGAAGCCATTCATGTAATCAGCTGTGGATATGAAGATAAAACTGAATGGGGAATAGAGGTAACACCAACAAGGACAACCTAGGGACTCCTTGATATCTTACTATATTTCTTTACAATAAGAAAACCAGCTCATCCATGATTTTGCTTTCCAAATATGCAGCTAGGTTGGATTTATGGGTCTATTACTGAGGATATTCTAACAGGTTTTAAGATGCATTGCCGTGGTTGGAGGTCCATTTACTGTATGCCAAAGAGAACAGCATTCAAGGGTACTGCTCCTATCAACTTGTCAGATAGACTCAACCAGGTGCTTCGTTGGGCCCTTGGTTCCATTGAGATATTCTTCAGTCGCCATTGCCCTTTATGGTATGGCTACAAGGAAGGGAAGCTGAAGTGGCTTGAGCGATTTGCCTATGCAAACACAACTGTCTACCCCTTCACCTCCATACCTCTAGTTGCCTACTGTATTCTTCCTGCTATCTGCTTACTCACTGACAAATTCATCATGCCGCCGGTAACAATTTTATTCTATTCCCTTCCTGTTAGGAAATGAGTTAGACATGACAGGCTTTTGAAATTATAACATGCAAATATTCCATAATGTTTACCTTCAAAAGCACAGGATATGAATGTTAATGATCTTGTTATGTAGTAGGACTTAAATCCATAATTTTGGAATGGATACTAAGCCAACAATAATTTCTGATTGCTGATGATCCAGATAAGCACTTTTGCTGGTTTGTACTTCATTGCTCTCTTCTCTTCAATCATTGCAACGGGCATTCTTGAGTTGAAATGGAGTGGAGTGAGCATTGAGGAATGGTGGAGAAATGAGCAATTCTGGGTCATTGGTGGTGTATCCGCACACCTCTTTGCTGTCATACAAGGTCTTCTGAAGGTTCTAGCTGGAATTGACACAAACTTCACAGTTACATCCAAGGCAGCAGATGATGAGGAGTTTGGAGAATTATACACCTTTAAATGGACCACTCTCCTAATTCCTCCAACCACTATCTTAATAATCAACATTGTTGGGGTTGTTGCTGGAATTTCAGATGCCATAAACAATGGGTACCAATCCTGGGGACCTCTATTTGGAAAACTCTTCTTTTCCTTCTGGGTGATTGTCCATCTATATCCATTCCTTAAAGGTCTGATGGGTCGGCAAAACCGCACACCCACCATTGTTGTAATATGGTCAGTGCTATTGGCTTCTATTTTCTCCTTGCTCTGGGTAAGAATCGATCCATTTGTGTTCAAAACTAAGGGACCTGATACCAAGCTATGTGGAATCAACTGTTGAAGGACTGGTTTTCCTGTAGTATTCTCTGTTGAGCATCTTGTGAAGATGTGTGTAAATTCTTGATTGTACTGTATGTTGCGTGAACCAACAAAGTTTAGATGCACAAGGATGAAAATAAGGAATGACTGAAAATTGGGAAGTGCAAATGCAGTTTGCTCGTTTTTGTAAATGTACTGGATGACATGTTGGTTACCATATGTTTTGGCTAAAAATGCCCAAGGATTGGAGATTAAGATAACTTTACAGATTTACCTATGCACTGTTGTAAATTAGTACATAGATAATGTTCCATCACAGGCATCTAGCTCATTATGTCTAATCCAAAAGCATATATAAAAATTGCATAAAGAAGAAATTGCAATAAACAAGAAAGGGAACTGGTAAGGGGAAAAAACCCAAAAGTATTATGATCAAAACCTTGTCATTACTGGCAACATCATCAGAAACACTACCTGGACAATATGAAGCATGGCTTTGATTCAGCAGCCTAAAGCGAAGTCCAAAGATCAAATTAAGATGTGACCAATTGAGGGATGGATCAAGTGACATGTACCTGGAATCTTTTATTACAATCCTAGTTTTCTTTGTAGTCTTGAAAACCTTACTGAGAAAATAGTTGGCATATAGCTCAGCTCAAATTAACAGCAACAAAAAACACCAAAAAATGAATCTATTGCTCCATAAGGAGCATAATATTATATTAACTAGGAACCTTACCACAATCGGAAGGAAAAATAAGCTTAGACAACGCCAATGAGATCATGATAATTGTGTTCAAATAACATCCTTATATAAGACTCTACAAGAGTTATAGCTTTAAGTCTGAGGTATATCTTTTTTTTTGTTCTTTTGTTTTTGGGTGCAGGCAATTGCTCACGCAATTCTGGGCCGGGGGTATTGGTTAAGTAAAGCCTTTCCTAAAGTGACCACTCTAGAATTAGAACTACTAAGATTGAAGGTAAGGTTCGTCTAGAAACACAGTCCACTTCTACTTTGACTAACTACTGTTGGTTAAGAATATCTTCTATTTAAGCCAAGCTTAAGAGGATTTAACATTCCAATAAAAAAAGGGATTGAAACCTTATCTTCAATGGCTGCAGTTTCAGGAACAGCAAATAAAGAATTGTAAGATGGCATATACTACTACATCTAAATTTTGTACAGGATTCTTAATCTGCAAAAATTGTTCAGATAATAGGCAACATAATGAATTCTTGACTCAATTAGTTCATCACAACCATGAAAGCATCAAGTTGCATAATGAGTTTAATTGGTATGTAAACTATCATCCACTAATATTCTAACACATTATTGTTTATTACCATCTCATTCTCATATTAATTAATATAACGATAGAGTGAATAAAAATAGAGTGAAAATATTTGTGAAACATGCCCTCATTTTTTTTACCTCTTTAATCTTCTATGAAATGGATCAACAGTACAATTGACCCTTCTATAAATGGCATAAGTGCGTAAATGAAAATTTGTTTTTTTGTTTTTTTTGGGACACAATGGTAGCACTGAGGTTTGAACCTATGACCTCATGCAGACTACCCAAATCCCTCACCATTAGACCAATCTTAGTGACTTGAAAATTTGGTTTTTGATATAACTTAATGGCTTGTCAAGTGATCCAGTGTTCTTGAATCCACCTAGTGTGACAAGGCTTAGTTGTTGTTGTTACTGTTTCTTCATTAAATTAAACGAGAAACAGAGAGCAATATAGTTAATTTTGTAAGTACTAGGAAGACAAGTGTTTCTTATGATACTTTTAGTTGCAAATTAGTTAGATCAATATTACTTCACATATATTCAACCAAAGCTGTAACTAGCACATGCAGTTATTAGACTGATTGAAATCTAGAGAAGATACTTGGCAAAGCACCACAAAAAAGGAAAAGAAAAGAAGAAAAATATTGAGAACACTTGATGACTAAATAGAAGGTGAAACGTGGTAACTTTCTCACTTTCAGTTCAAAATTAAATTTGAAAACGATTAATTAAAAGCTTTGCTACAAAATTCAGCGAAGGAGTACATCACCTTCTGCATGGATAAAAGAATGTAATGCTAGTAAGTATTTGTAAAGAGATCTACAGACCCCTAGATTTAAAGTAAACTGGTTTGTATGATGTTGAGGTGAAGGACAATTGACAAGCATACATCTTACTTAAAGAATGCAAGAAACTGGTTTGTATCGTTCAGTTTAACTTACTTTATAAAAAGTTCTACTCAACCAGTGCTATGAAATGTTGTGCTTCTGAAGTGGAGGGTCACAGGAGGGTCCAGACTCCAGAATCCAGATCATATCGTTGTAAGGTAAGAATGTGAAACCAATTGGTTAGACGATGCTTCTGCCTACATAACTGGGGAACAATTATTCGTTCAGCTTCACCAATAATCGCCACAAGAACAGATCCCATCTTTGAAATGGTGGAATCTGTTAGCATCCCTAACTACAATTACTCTTTCTGTGATCTTTGATATAAACTTAGTAGCAGTATGGCAATCTAAACAAACCCGGAGATTCTTTATGATCCTGATCTCAGTACCAGGTTCAGTTGTAATAAGGCCAAAAGCAATGGCTAACTTCTCACTATGAACATTAACCATGAGCTCCTTTTCTTCTTCTTCCACATCATGCAAAGCAGTGACTGTCTCTGAATGATACCCCATCTCCCTCATCTTACCTATTAACTTCTCCAGCATTGCATAGATAGCTGTTGCATGAGAATGAGAACGATCACCAGATACAAAGACATTTGGGGTCCCATTAACCTCAATTAGAGTGCACCCTGGAGTCTTCGCCAGTTTTCTTTTCTTAACTACCTCTCGTATTGAAGCAGCCTTTGGGAAGTTTCTCTCCACAGAGTATATATTAGAAAGCAAGACATGGTATCCTACGTTCCCTGGATCCAGTTCAAATAGCCTTTCTGAAGCCACACGAGCTATGTTCGTGTCTTTATGAATCATGCAAGCGCCAAGCAATGTACCCCAGACTGCAGGTCCTGGCTCAACAGGCATTCTCCTAATAAATTCTAAGGCTTTTTCTAATTGTCCTGCTCGTCCCAGAATGTCCACCATGCACGCATAGTGTTCAGCTAAGGGCTCAATTCCGTATTTATTGACCATAGCATGGAAAATTTCATCTCCTTCTCTTACCAAGCCAGCATGACTGCAAGCATATAACACCGAAATAAAAGTAACACTGGATGGATGAAACCCTAAATGTAACATCTCATTAAAAAGCTTAAGTGCTTCATGCCCATATCCATGGAGCCCATAACCAAAAATCATAGTATTCCAAGTGATAGTATTCTTTTCACTCATTGAGTCAAATAATTGCCAGGCCTCCAAAATGTTCCCACACTTGGCATACATGTCAATTAGAGCAGTCGAGACATAAATGTTTGGCTCAAGATTTTTGCTTTTAATTAACTGATGGACCCATTTTCCAAAACTCAGTGCTCCTAGCTGAGCACAAGCTGAAAGAATAGTTGTGATCGTAACTGGATTTGGAGTAAATTCAGTCATCATCATTTCCTGAAAAAGAGAGATAGCTGTCTCCGTTAAACCATTCTGCGTATAACCTGAAATCATAGCATTCCAAGCAGCCACAGTTTTCTCCGGTGATTCATCAAATAGCTGGCGTGCCAAATCTATTTCATTGAGTCTGCTGTAAATAGTTGTGAGTGCGGTTGAAACAGAAGGATGCAAAATAGTACCAGACTTCACACAAAAACCCTGAATACAGCAAACCAAATGCAAATGACCAAAGGGAGAAGACACTGGAATCAAGCCAACCATTGTACTTGAACTGACTCTCTCACCACAAACAAGTAGTTCTCTGAAAAGCTTGACTGAACATTCAGTCTCACAGTTGCATGTAAACCCAGAAATCATGGCATTGTAAGATATCAAGTCTGGCTTACCAATCATCCTGAACAACAACCTTGCTGTGTCGATATCCCCACATTTTGAATACAACGAAATCAAACCTGTCAGCACATAAGCATCAAAATGAAACCCAAGTTTCAAAGCTAAACACTGAATCTCCATCCCAACTCTCAACTCTTGCATCTCTGCAGCTGCAGGAAGCACCGTAGCCACCGTGGTGGAATCCAATCGCACCCCTTCTCCAACCATATTCCCGAAAACATGAACAGAATCGTCATAACAACAATTCCTGACAAACCCAGTAATCACGGTGTTCCACAACACAGTGTCCCTCTCAGGCATTCCATCAAACACCTTCCTTGCTAACCCAACACGGGAAAACTTGAAGTACAAGTCAACAAGAGCAGAACCCACAAAGAGGTTGGACCCGAACCCATCAACGATGGAATGGGCATGCAAAAGCATCAGGTGCTTCTCGTCGGGAGCAGCGGCAATGGCGAAGGCGTAGGTGAAGTTATCAGGGTTGAGGTTGGTGCTTTTACGCAAATGGGTGTAGAGAGAGATGGAAGAGGAAGGGGAGGCGTTGATGGAGAAGCCTCTAACGAGGACGTTGAAGAGGAAGATGTCGGGTTTGGGAATGGAGAAGAAGAGGGCACGTGCGTTGCGCGTGGCGCCAAGGTCGAAAAACTTCTGGGTGAGCTTGGTGACGGTGGCGAGGTCGAATTGGAAGCCATTAACGATGAGTTGAGCGTGGGTTTGAACCAAGTGAGGGAGAGTGTAGGCTTTGTTGATGAGGGCGAGGAGCGAGTTGCGACTTAGTGTGCCAAGCTCCCGCTGAACCTGAATCATCTGAATTGCATCTCCATGCACTCACTGAACCAATTGCATTTATCAATACTGAGTTGTGACTTGGGTGTTTGATGTGATTATCTTGTCATGCGTGATAATTACTTCATTAAAAATTACAGGCTTTTTTTTTACCCCAGTAACGTCATTTTTATAAAGTTTGACCGGAATAATTTTTTGAGTCAAATTTATTATTTATATAATGCATTTAAGACGTGACACTTAAAGAGTCGCGTCATTTGTATCAATTTACGATTAATTTGCACCCTATCAAATCTTGGATTTACGATTAATTTTTAAATTAGATATTTGTGAAAATATTCAAATCAACAAATAGAATAATAAAAATTAGCCTTTACAAAAGCTTATTTATTGAAGAAAATATGTATAAACGTGTAATTATACAGCTTTTATGTTATAAATAAAAGGATAGAATAAATATAGAAAATAAAACCCTTAAAATAAAGTCCCAACGAAAAAGCAAAATTATTGTACCTATGATATGTTTACCCAAATAAAATAAAATAAAAAATACAACTATTGAATTTTCTCTCTCCTTAAAAAGATTTACTATCATATTAAAACATTCTATATTTTCTATTATACAGAAAAGATTATTATTCTATATTTTCTGTTATACAGAAAAGATTATTGTATCTATTATACATTTTTTTTTTATTTTAAGGGTTTTATTTTCTATATTTAAACATTCTATCCTTTTATTTATAACATAAAAGTTGTATAATTACACGTTTATACATATTTTCTTCAATAAATAATGTAAAGGCTAATTTTTATTATTCTATTTGTTGATTTGAATGTTTTCACAAATATCTAGTTTAAAAATTAATTGTAAATCCAAGATTTGATGGGGTTGCAAATTAAATTTGATATCAACATAGCTTCAGATGGTACACAGTGAGGTTTAGGTTCATTAGCCTCTGGTTCAATTTTCGGTGCAAATGTTTTAAAATTGTGTCAGACCATAATTTTACAAAACCATTATATCAGGTAGGACACGGCTGTTATTGTACCGCGTCCTGTGCAAAAATTTTTTTGCAAAGGACGCGGCTGACAGGATGTCACGTTTCAGTGTAATTATTATCTCCCGTTATTGGTTGATAACTGATATAAAGGACGCGATTCTTTAAGTGTCACGTCTTAAAATGATTTTCAAAGTATCACATCATTATGCATTGTATAGATAATAAATTTGATCAAAAAATTATTTCGGTCAAACCTTATAAAAATGACACTACTGGTGTCAAAAAGCCAAAATTACATAATACACTGTAGTGGTCAATAGAATATGATTTTTATAATCATTATGTGCGCTACCAAATTCCCATTTTATGCTTTTTATTTTTTATTTTTTTTGGAGTGTTTCTCACTTCTCAGACTCAGATGCTGCTTTAATAAGCCATGTTCTGTGTGCGACCTCTCAACTTGTAATGTAAATGCAAATTGTAAACCTGGATGGGTGTCTATATTTTTCTCCTTTGCTTTGCATTTTCTTTTCATTTGCATGATACAAAATTACAAGCGGAAGGCTGGGGCCACCAGTGTTGAGTAGAAAGAAGAAGAAGAAGAAGAAGATATAGAACAATATGAATTCCAATACATTTGAGGAAAGGGGAAAAAAAAAGAACCTATATAAAAAATTTACAATGGCGAAGAACCAGGAATATATTAGATACTAATACTATATCATTTTGGCTGCAGCCGCAAGAGACTTGTTGTTAGCTTAGAAGCAGGTCAGACTCATGCGTGTTTACATTTCCGAGATTGGTTATTTAGTTACCTCCAAAGTTTGCTTGATCTGCATGAGATGCGTCCGGAGGCTATATTCTTCAACCTGTTTTAGCCAAAATAATTAGAAACGAACACAAGGATGTGATGATGATGATGAAGCACATTCCGATCTACTCATGCAAAAATTGAAGATGAACAATTTTACATACGTATCATCATTTCTTTCAAACTGTCTTACTGTAAGGGATTGATCAAGCCCTTGTGTTGTACACTACAAGTTCTTTGAAATAAACCAAAACGAACATATCCAGCTATATCTATCTGTCAAATCGAAACCATATTAACTAGTAACCAATCCTAAAATGAAAAATGCCCTGGATCTGAATTTATCAGACAACCAAATGAGACAAAGCTACAATGGAATGCTACTAGGTCAATTTATACAAAAGCCCAAACCAACTAGGATACATTAGAAAACTGACATGCAAAATGTAGCCTAGGGATAAAGAAATAAGGGCTGTATACTACACAGGCATCTATGAATGGAACAAAAGGGCGAGCAAGTAACACATATTGAGGTCGTTATGTGAGAAACGAAAGTATGCAATATGAAGCCAACTGATAAAGATATAGGTAGCGTTTGGTAGATGTGTTATAATGGAATGGAACATAACATACAGGTTTTATTTAATGTTTGGTGTATTTTAAAAATAGGAAAAAACAGGACATAAGGTAAAAAATTGATACATTTTAGTTCCACTAAAAGAGGCGAATGGAACAGGCCTGGTGAATGCAACAGAGGAAAGCAAGTTCAAACTATTGAGGTCATGATGTATGAAAGAAACAATAACAAACAAATATGAAGCCAGCGGATAAAGAAATGACTTAAATGAGAAAAAGGGAAGGAGGGATACAGTCCAACCAGGGAACCATATCCCTCGGGCCTCAACCCTCCAAAAGGTTTATTCAATGAAACCTTGACTTATTTGTCTATATTTTACTGTTTCACTTCTCCTTTCTTGGAGCAAACAAGCATAACACTCGATGAATATATTATACTTGGGGTAGTTTCAACTAGAGAACATGACATTAATTCCTCTAATAAAACATCTGCATATAAATGTATGTGCGGCATTAATACTACTGGCAAACTAGGATATGTGGTTGATAACTATGTGTAAGCCACATTTTTTTTTTGATAACTTCACATAAGTCATTCATTTCACCGATCACATTGTTAGCACTCACACCTCCACACATTCATCACCAACAACTTTTATTAGATAGTTTAATTATCTATTAGCATCTTCATATATTAAATGGAAGAATAGAAAAGAGCAATAAAACTTCCACTTTACAGGTCGAAATAAAAAGGTTCCTAGGAAATTATAGCAAAAATAGACAAGAAATAAATTCTTGACCGTCAGAATCATTTTCACATAATGACATGCCCAAGTTTCCTCAACGACTAATTCATTATTTCCCCGAATAATGAAGAAGCATAGCTCAAAAACAGGAAAACTCAGCCCTGTAATTTCTACTATCCTTAACTTTTGCCGCTGACACCATCCCCAAGACCAGGAAATATAGCCAGACCAAAGTAGGAAAATTACACTAGTTTACTATCAACTCAGGTTCTTGAATATATACAGTACTAGTATGATTCTCTAATCAAACATGACAATTAAATGTTGAATCCCCAGAAGTGATACAATAAGATTAAACTTAATGCAAAACAAGACAAGTGCGAGTCATATTTACTCCCTGATAATTTATGTTCGTACTCAACATCATACAATCGAGAGATTTGTTGCACAGAATTCAAGTTCTTAAATCATATATCAAGACTCTCACCTGCATAGCTGTTGCAAAAGTCAGTAGCGCTTCACATTCATCAAGCATGGCTTTTTCCTGTAATGATACAACAGCAACTTCAGAAATTAAATTATTCATGCCCTCCACCTGTGAGACACAAAAAAAAAATTAAAAAAAGTGGTGTCAGCATCTCGAATATAGCATTTGATGTGAAAATGAGACACAAAATGATAGTAACCCTTTACCAATGAATCCAAAACTGTAATTTTACTAATTTGGAAATCAAAACGAAGAAAAGCATTTGTCAGTTAGCCCAAAAAAAGAAGTTTGATACTAATTGTGTTGGTCTAAAAAATAGCAGGATAGACAAGTACGAGGTTGCAATGCTTAATCAAACCAGTAAAACTCTAGAAACAACTAACTCACCCGTGAGAGTGAAGTGCAGATTGCAGATCCCATTGCTTGCATGACATCAACAGCTGAACAGATAGCAACCTTCAAATGCTCAATATCTGCCTGTAATAATGTAAACATAGTGTTAGAGAACAATATAAACCATTAAAAAGGCCCTCACCTAAAAGCTTAAGCTTTTTGATTAAATTGGTTCTTTACATGGTATCAGAGCCTCGTGTCCAGGGTTCGATCCTCACCGCCCCCCACTTTCTCTTGTGGAATTTCTTAGCACAGGTAGGCTGAGCCTGATGCATCGTCTACCTTTCAAGCCCAATGGGCTCTCGTGTGAGGGGGCATGTTAAAGAATAGTATAAACCATTAAAAAAGCCCTCACCTAAAAGCTTAAGTTTTTGGGTTGAATTGGTTCTTTAAACATAATAACAATGCCAGTGTTGCTTTCCAAGTATTAAATCAAAAGACACAATATCTACTAAACATCAACATCAACAACACCTTTATCCCAAACTAATTGGGGTTGGTGTGCACAATATCTACTAAAAATAAAATAAAATCAAATGACACAAAAACCATACACACCTTTGCTCCTCCAGTTACTGGAAGACGAAGAGTGCTTGCCTCCAAGTCTTCTACAGCCCCAGATAGAGCATTCACATGATCGCTTTCAAGTACAGCCCAGTCATCAAGGTAGGTCATCTGTTACATTAATTATAAAAGGCCCATATATAAAAAAGGATCGAAAGTTGAAACAATTAAATAAGGAAAATACTAGCATCACGTTTATAGGAAGTGAAATTAGAACCTCAACTTCGTATACGATTTTCACACAATATCAGTATCTTCTCAACCAAAATGTTTTCTTAAGGTGTAATCTAATTCAAAATGTAAATAACCTTCAAGATTAGTTCAGGTGTTGTATGCATACCACCATACCCATTCTTCGGAAGTTCCAACTTGAACAAGCTGAGTCCTAGGCTTTTTCTTTTACTTAAAATCACTAATATCAACCATTAATATGAATTATGAATAACCTATATAATCAGAGACTAACATAAGCATAACTTTTCAATATACAGGACCAATCTTTTGCTGAGTGAATTTGCTTTACTTATAAACTCACAAATAACTATCTTAAGTTAAATTACCAATACAATTTTTTCTTTTTTCTTTTTTTTTTAAAAAAAAAAAGAGTAACTGGAATGTACCATCAACAATAAAGATGGCATATAAAGCAATAACTATTTCACGCAAGAGAGAAGCATTACTTGATCATTCAAAATACAGTTCAGCTTCAGCTCGAGCTGCAGCTGCTGGAGATTGATCCTCTTCCTAATAATCGATTCCCAAATAGACAAAGTAGTCTTCCATACATTATACAGAGTTTTCTGCAAATGATTTGATATACACAATCATCTATATAGCAGAAGAACTACACTAAAAGGAGTTTGCTAGCTTGTCTAAGATAGCAAGTCATACCTCCACAGTTGCATTTTGGATGTAAAGTACATCCTCTGCTCTCGCATTGACAAATCTCCATTGTAAGTGTCTGTTGTAGAGAAGCCGTAATTGGTGAGCATCTTCTATGTAGGTTGCACCCTTTTTCCCTTTTTTAAAATCGGCAATAAAGCTGAGCACTGAATTTGAATTGTTGGATTGGTTGGATGAATTGGGTGGCCTTATTCGAGATGGACTAACCCCTCTAGGAGGAGTTGATGGCCTTGACCGAGATGGACTGACACCTCTTGAACAAGAAGAGGATAGCAATGAGGTCTTAATAGGTGATGGGAGACGTGATCCTGGACTTGGCAAGGTCTGAGATCTGACTGATGGAGTTGCAGAAACAGATTTGTGAGGCCTTAATAACTGGAAGCTGTCCTCTACTGACTTCGCCTCGCTGCTTCCTACTCTACCGCTTTCAACAAGCAACAATAGCCTTGCAGCATCACTAGAAGCTTTTTGCAAGGGCTTACTCGCTTCACCAGGTAAAGACAATCTTCTCAGTGAAGATGCTTCACCAGGTAAAGACAATCTTCTCAGTGAAGATACACCACTCGCTTCACCAGGTAAAGACAATCTTCTCAGTGAAGACACACCACTCCCTTCACCTGGTAAAGACAGTCTTCTCAGTGAAGGCACACCGGTTCCTGGAACAGAAGTTTTCAACGTTCTGGTTGTCTTATCAGCATTATCAACACTTCTATTTAATACATTAGAAGATACCTTCCCAGCTATTCTACTTGGCCACCGATGCTGATCTATCAATCGAGAATGCAAGCCATCAACTGGTTTTGAATTCTCGGACTGATCAGAGGTATTTTTCCCCTTAAGAGGACTCCTCTTTCTCTCCGGCGTAGGCTTTCGTATGTTGGGAGTTTCAACCTGCTTGTGTGTCACGTTTGAAGCCGGCCGCAGAGTACGATCAGAAGCACTAGTAACTGGCCTCTCTTTCTTGCTAACAGGTATGGAAATGGTATCTGACTGGAAAGAAACGCTCAAACTTCGCATTGTGGAAGGCCATAGTGTCTCCGCCAATCGGCTACCAGCTACCCTTCTGGATGACAAATTCACATCTACAGATGAGTCTCGGACGGGTGTAGAAGGAATTGGCAGGGAAGGAGGAGTCGTAGGCCGCTTCCTCTCTGCTGATTGAGATCTCTTGGGTAGCGATTTGGATGATGCAGGAGTTGTTCTTGTGAGGTTTGGAGATGGGCATCGACGAGGACCAGATGGGGTTGCCGGAGTAGGTGACTTATACCGTGAACTAACTTCCCTTGTTCCCGAGCGCCGGGTGGTGATTGCATTGTTCTTTTCAGCCGGAACCAAGGGTGATCTTGTGGTCTCCACAGTTCTATGTTTCCGTAATGCTAGCTCTGATTCACATACATCCATCCACTCTATCCCAATTAGACCACATTGATATAAGCTTTCATAAAACTAAACCAAATTTAGCAGCTTTGGCAATCATGTATCCCGCATTCAATGGAATAAATGAACAGCACACACTATCCAGAAAGAAGATCCTTTTCTCTGCAATAAATCTGCCATAAATGAACATAAAGTAAGATACTACAGACTGGGAAAGATAAGAAAAGCAAAGAATAAACCACATCAAAAAAGGAAAAGGAACCACAAAAAAAAAAAAGCGCACATCTTTACAGAGACACAGATCTGTTGGAGAAGAAATTAGAGAATCACAAGCAATTAACGCAAGTGGGTATGTGTTGTTCATTAAAAAAAGCCCGAATCCAACAAGATCATGACACAGCAAGGAGAATACGGAGAGGGAAAACAACATTTGGTGTAATGGGTCAGAGAAACTCGCGGAAACTGTCTCAATGTACATTTAACGTTTTATCATTCAACGTTGGGTTGGTTACAGTTAACTGAAGGGCAAAAAAAAAGGTTGAATTGCTGGGGAAGGGGGGGTCTGGGGTCCCCTTGGAAATTGGGGATACTGGGAAGTAGAGTGGAATAATAGAGGGCGCAAGATAAGAGAGAGGAAGTGCGTAGGTTAACATAGGCTTTAATTTTTCCCCTTTTGTCTCTCTCACGGGAATGCAATGGTCGGGTGGGCTGGCAATGGTTTCACTCCACATAAACCTACTCTGTCCTATTTCTTCTTCTCTCTCAACTCCTTTTCATGAAAGGGAATTCAATGACAGTGATATCATAACTTGCAGGGCCAAAAGAAAATAAGTATCTAATCTCTATTGGAACACTCTCCCCCTTGGATGTGTAGTTTTTTTCCTAAAGATGAACCATACATTAATTACCATACAGTAACTGTTTTGTGAGTTTCCCCTTCCAAAATTTTGCAGACAGAATTTTCATAGAGCCTGCAAATTATGTCTCTTGTCTGTATGCTATATGCACAGTATTAAATATTTCCTTAATTTAATTGAAGGTTGAAGTTTGAACTCGGGATAAAGACAAGGAGGTCCACGTGCAGGGACGATCATTGTCCATCCCCAGAAAACTATTGTGCAAACCTAACATGATTCAGAGACATCATTTCCTGCAAAATAGAATTTTAAATAAAAATTGATAGAGTAGTAATTTCGATTTTGACCACCCTGAATTATCTTGGAGTCTAGTCTGAAGGAATATCGATGAAATCCAAGAAAGAAAAGAAAAAACTTTTTTACCTGAAAATTTTGGAAAGAAACAAAGGGTTCTGAACGAGGATCTATGACAAATATCTGCACTGACAGATTCATATCTCTCTCACTGAGTACATGTTTCAGAGTTTCACTGTTCATGTGATCTCACTCAAACAATACAAATACTAGAGTTCATTGAATCCCTCTCCCAAATCAACAACCAAATTTGAAACTTTCTTGAATTTCGAAATGTGAAAGGAATCCACCCTAAAAAAATTAATAAAAAAAATTTACTGAGCAGAAAATTTGTTGAAAAACAAAGACCTAAAGTAATCCCCTCATAATGTGATAGTAAACAAAGTAATCGAGCCAATTTTTTTTTTTTTTTTTTTTTAAAAAAAAAAACCTCTCAAAGTAGAAATCAATCAGAACCTAATTGATTTAATTACAATGAATTTCTCACCTTCTACTGATAAATAAGTTCCTCCGATCAGAATAAAGGGACTTGAATCTCAACGCATCAATAGAACCCTAAATAAATAAATCAATGATTCCACCTCCTTCGTCTCAAAAAAAGAAAAGATAAAAAGAGAATCCAGATTTGATTAAGGAACGAGGCACAGATCGTGAAATTCGCCGGAGATGGCAGTTTGTGATTTTGAAAGTGAGAGTACGAACCCGAAAGCAAATAAGAGAATTAAAAGAAGAAGAAAAAAAAATTGATGATTTCGAGTTACGAAAAAAGCTTCCTATGAAAAACATAATAATAATAAAATAAAAGGGAATATGAGAAAACGGTTTCAGTTGGGAAAAAGGAGGGAGAAATAGGGACAGTTGTTTTCGCGCCACCTACTTTTAATTGTTCTTTTGTCCTTAAGCAGTAATTATTATTCCCATTATTATTTTAATCTTTATCATTTAACTAACCTTTTTATTATTTTAATTTTAAAAGTACATCTATATTCTATCTAATTGCAATATTAACCTTCATAAGAACGCGTAGTTAAATTATTAATTCATGTATATTTATCTCCATTGTCTATTTGTCTTGGGTATTGGCTTCGTTCCCTAAAAAGCCTTTCTTCTTCTTTTTTACCCCTCAAATATTTACGAGTTTTTTAAAGGATATAAAATTATTATTATTTTAAATGAAAAAAGACACAAGTAATAAAAATTATTGGGGAAGAAAATGGATATTTTTTTAATTTAAATTTTAAATAAGAAATATTAATTTATATTTTTCTCTCACTTAAAATAATATAATTTTATATACTTTAAAAAATACAAATATTTTTCCCATATTTAATTACCTTATCATTTGTTTCAAGACTTAACATCAAGTACACGTTAACATCAAGTACATGTTCTTTGCTTTTAGGTTTTAATCAATTCCATGTTATGCCCCACTATTTCTTCTTTTTTAATTAAATTTTGCTTGAATTTAGATTGGTCACCTAGCTTTCGTTGTATATACGATGATATTAAATACCACTCTGTGACAATATCCATGCCTAATGACATGATGCATACAACATATTTGAACACATTTTAACATGTTCCATGCCACATCTCTTTGTTTTTGTTATTAATGTGATTTCTTTATCTCTACGTATTAATGCTATTATCATTTATTGTATGACGTTTTCTTTTGCTTTTTGATAAAAAATAATAATATTTAATCACCATGTATATGTCTCCTATTTTAGTCAATTAACAGAGCTATTATGTTTCATATACCTATTTTGGAGAAAATAGGGGTTTGAGTTTAATTGAGCTATTATCTCAACACGCCCCCTCACACGAGCGTCAATTGGGCTTGAAGCGTGGATTATGTACAGGCTCAATTTTTGGTTTACTTTTTTGTGCTTTTTTTTTTATTTCAATTTCACTTTAAAGTGATGGCGGTGAGGATCGAACTTGTAACCTTATAGTCACTCAAGCTCTGATACCATGTAAAGAATCTTGGGATACGCTACCCCAAAAACTAGCTCGAAGGGTGAGAGTGTCTAAGGCCTTATAAAGGCCACATTAGTTGCCCATATAAACAATGTGAGACTATATATCTCAACACATATAAATAAATAATGCACACAATATTTCTTCTTATCGGATAATCTTTATTTTAATATTTTAAAGTTTAAATAGATAATACAAGTCAACCATAAAAGTAACTGCCCACTAACATTAATTAAACTCCACTAATAACCATTATCATCCTTTAGAAAAGTTGAAATTTAAATAACAAAATAAATAAAATAGTTACTCACTATTTAAACAAGGGTTTGGTGTTTGTCATTTTAAATGACATAAGTTATGTCATTTTAGAAGAAAGATAGACACAGAAAAATAGAAATAATGGGAGAGAGAAAGTGAGTGATTTTTTTTAATTTAAAATTCAAATTTTTTGTGTCTGTATCTCTCTTAAAATGACATAACTTTTTGTCATTTAAAATGACAAACACTTTTTCCTTTAAACAATCCAACAATTTAAAAATAATAAAACAATAAAAATAACCGTAATATTTTCTCCTTTTAAAATTTACTTTTGTCCTCAAGAGTAAGAGCAACATCAAGTAATTGAATCATCTTCAATATCTATATCCGTCTCTTTATTGCTGTCCATTGAAAAATGTCCTCTAGGTACAACACTTTCTTTCATCTTATCAAAGAATTGTAGAAGGGAATTTCTCAATGGACCAAAAAATTGGGGTCTTGGTCGGGGGGACTTATTTAATTAAGACACTTTGATCGTATTCAAATTTTTAATAACAGTGGTAGTGTTAAGTGGGGTTATTCATTTGGTGGAGGGAGAAAGAGACAAACTCAGTAATGAAATGAGATAAGTGAAAATGAGAGAGTTTGGTAGTTAATACTAGAACATCTACCCGATTGGAGAGTTTGGTGAATATCTTCTTCAATTGAATGGAGAGTGTTTGAACTACATCTTCTAGTTTTTTCAAGTGTTTCTTCATGTCTGGTACCTGGCTTTGATACCAAATTGTTACGTACACACATTTTGGAAGAAAGTAAGGGATTTGAGTTCAATTGAAGGAACCTTGCCTCTAGCACACAAACAAATGCACAAAATATTTCTTCTTATCTAATGATCTTTATTACAATATTTCAAGGTTTAAATAGATAATACAAGTCAACCATAAAAGTAACTATTTACTAACACTAAATAGGCTCTACTAATAATCATCGCCTATCATTTAGCAAAGTTAAAATTCAAATAACAAAACATATAAAATAACTACCCACTACTTAAACAACTCAACAATTGAAAATAATAAAATAGTAAAAATAACTGTAACAACTTTATTTTTTATTTTTTTAAAAATTCTTTTAATGAACCCATGTTAATGAAAAAAAAAAAAAAAGTTATGTATCTATTTGTATCCATTAAAAAAATGGTTGTGTGCTCGTGAGTCTTCAAGACATGCATGTTGCTCTGTGTTTCACTCTTCTTACGTTTTTTCCATACAAATAACTGAAATAAATTCAAATTTATTGATTCCGACGTGTTTGCTTAACATAGTAGACTTATGATGCAATAAAAAATATTTGATACTTTCGAAAAAAGGCATGATGCATGATAAACCATTATTAAACCTTATCTGGATATCGATCTGATCGAGGTACTGAATCACTGGTCGGACCAGTTGATCCGGATATATATAGATATATATAAATATGAACATATAAATATGAACATATAAATATGAACATATAAATTCAAGGGTTAGCTTTTTTTCTGCAGTTACTACATATAAGTTATCTGCAGTAAACTCAATACGACGTCGTTTTGGAGCGGAATCATGGTATTTTTGTAATTTTAATTTATTTCAGGGGAATTTTTAATATTTCAATCCTAAAACGACGTCGTTTTGAGAGTAAATGCAGATAACTTATCTGCAGTAACTGTAGAAATATTTTTCTGTAAGTTCAATAATATTTTCCATATCTAAAATGAATTAAATAATGTTAATTAATAAGTTCAAAAACATGAAACATAAATAAATAAAAATGTATGCTATTACTATGTCAATTTAAATTCTAACTCAAAATTTTCATAAACATACCTCTTAATGACATTGAACTTATATTTTTCAAATTCAACTACATTAAAAATGACATATGCCACATTATCTTAATTTATTATTCCGCAAATTGCTTCAGTATTGGAAGTTGAAATTTGAAGTCATTGTAGAAGAGTATACTAGCAAATAAAATTACAAAAAAAAAGTAAATTAGTTCTACATTTTTTTTTGACAAGATGAAATAATTTTAATTTTTTAGTTTTTTTTTAATGCATGATCGATTACAATTTTTTTGTTCACCAACTTTGATCGGATTTGGCCGATTTTGTTTGGATTTTGACCGGATCGATATATGACCGATCTAATGCTTGACCCGAACCGATTCGATAACCGGTTCGTCGAATTCCGAGTCGATCCGGACGGGTCGGGCCAAGTTTTACAACTATCTCATTCAATCAATAACAGACAACAATTTTATATTTGAGCCAATAATTAATACTTGAAGGTTTGAGAAAGAAGTTGGCCTTTTTTATTTTTCTTTTAATGCGAGAGAAAACACACACTCTTAAATTAATAAATATTTTAGAAAAAATTTAAATTTATTAAATCGATTAGATCAAAATAAATCAAACCAAATAAATAAAATTGAATTGCTTGAGTTTCATTTCAGATGACGTAATATTCAAAATAATTAGTCGGAAGGGAAATTATGGTAGGTTGTGATCGATTAACATCCTACTAATTAATGACATGTTACCGGCAGATTCATTATTTTATTTATTTTCTTTTTTAATTTTTAAAAAGCATTCCTGTTTCAAAGGTGATTAATGCTATAACATAGTAAGAAAGCTACATGAGATTTTGATAAGAATTCAATTGCATTTAAATCACCAACTGTAAAATTTTGTACTCCATTTATGTCATTATCAATATCATACGAAGACAATGTTAGTAATATATTATTCGACATATTTTAATTATTAAATAAATTGATATGAATTTCAAAAATTAAATAATAAGTTCAATTACTTTTTTTTAGTACACAAGTTCAATTTACTTAGGAAGACTCATAAAATATCTTATAATAAAGAATAAATAATATGTTAAAATAGTGTATTATCAGCAATTTTTCTTGCACGAAAATAAAGACCATAGTTTCATTGTTGAACCAAAATAAAAACTCGAGGGCTAGCCAGATTATTTTAAATTATATATAAAATATATTTTTTTTGGTAAGCAAATAATTTTTTAATTTAGTGAACAAGTTAATTTTAGCAACATATTTAAATCAGGAACGTTATTTTTACAACCTAAAAGTTTTACAACCTCTTACAATTTATTTTTTTACCGTTGATTTTCGTCAATTCAATGATTATAATTTATTGGAATTAATAATTAATTAAAAAATATAACCTAATAAACCACAACCGTTAAATTGATGAAAATCAACAATAAAAAATTGATTGTAAGAGGTTGTGAGGGAAAAGAGGTTGTAAGAATAACGCTTCTCTATTTAAACTTTTAATAATAAAAGTATTTTAAATTAATTT